AACTCGAAAAACCCACCGTTTTTTCGTGACTTCCAATGAGGAAGTTTAGAACAGCTGATTATAGTCGCATGTGGTTGACGACTGCACCATCCCACATCAAAAATCGATGCGAGCGTACGAGATCAGGTCGCGTATGATCTCCGGGCATTCGTCCCTGCTATTCATTGTAGGGCTTTTGGCATTGATCCAAAAAGCCTCAAGGAGTTTTCGCGCTGGTGTTTTGGACTCCTGTGCAAGGATATTGACTTTCACTTCAAAATCGTCTCCGCTATGCTTTTGTATCCTATGCGTGCCTAGTGGGGTGGTTCGTCTTAGTTTTCGTTTGCCATCTAGGTGTTCTCTTACACGGATACACAAAGGTCTGCCCGTTTCGCCAATATATTCATCTCCGCAATTGTTACACGAGATCAGGTATATCGTACCTGAACTCATGCAATCACCGTCCCTGCCGTAAGGGCAAATTACATTACGTATTGTATTGTGTTTTTATGGAAGTAAATGTATGCTGTTTAAAAACCTCGCGATTGCTGAACAAGAAAACGACACATTCATATTCCAATGCATTGTGTTTTTTATGGAAGTAAATGTATGCTGTTTAAAAACCTCGCGATTGCTGAACAAGAAAACGACACATTCATATTCCAATGCCGAGGTTCAGAAAAAGTCGATCCTGGGAACCTAGCAATAATATTTAATTTAGCTAATGAACTTGAAACAAACGAGGTTTTTGCCCCTGTGATACGGATATTTCTAGAAACACTTTTAAACATAAAGTCAAAATCCTTTCGGAGTGTACAGATTTCTTTCTTAAAAGCGAAAGCATACTGGGAAATAATAAAAAAAAACCTCCTGATAAAACTTTTGTACTAAACATGAAGTACAAAGACGAAACAACCGATTGCTACAGTAGGATACCTTTTTAACCCACGCATTGTAACGTGGATCATGTGGTTGAAGTTCTTCAGGAGAAAGTACGTTAACACCCGTAGAGCCAGTGTACTTGCCTGGCAGATTTTTAGCAGCAGCCCATGACGCCATCTTAATAAAGCTTGGAGTTTTGAATTACAAAAAAACCAGAAGAAGAAAAGAAAAATTGGAAGACTTTTAGAAACGTCCACAAAAAACGGGATAAAACTGTCCAAAATGGTAACTGCATGCCTTGCGCTCTCCAAAAGTGAAATTAGAAAAGGAAAAGGGCAAATAAAAACGAAAAGAAGCAAACTAAATCAATTAGAAACTTAAGCGAAATACAAACTTGATCATCCACTTCCTTCACAACACGAATAGCTTCGTAATCGTTCGGATTGGTTGCTAACTTCAATTGAGCATCCGCTCTTCGAGCTAACACGTTAGCCACATCTTGTGGCCCAGTCTTAAAATTTTAAATGTGAGATCAGCAAGTGAAATGATGTATTCGAAATCAACTAAAATGTCAAGCATAACTTAACTGTACAAAAACCTCTAGAAAGAAATGTTCCCTTTTCTATACCACACAGGAAAGTTTTTGAGGATTTTACACCGTTAGGGCAATCTAATGCGAGAAACTTTTCGTCGATTGCGGACCTTCTGGTTTCTCAATAACTACAGTGCTTTAGAGGTTTTGAATATGATAGAATTGTAGAATAACATTTCTTTATTGTCTTTGGCTATACATGATACGCATAGTACTATTTACTGCGTTGCTATGATCCATTATGCAGAGACATTGCTGTCAGCATTTCGAAATATTTTGTACCTATTTTGAGTCCATTTCGGTGTTTTTCATACTTACTCATTCTATAGAATGAACAAAACGGTTAAAATGAAACAGTTAGTTTCTGGTCACATCACCGATCAGCGAGTTTTTCCAAGCAGAGGTTTTTGTACATCATTAAGTGCAGAGAATGCTTTTATGGTTCCACCCTCCTACTTCTATCACCTTTTTGTTAGCTGTCGAATTCATATACACAAAAAAAGAAAGCTCCCTGCGTTGATCAATTCCTGAGGGATGCGCCATGCATTCGACTTCATTAAGGATCGTTGCAGTTGATTGAATGCATATCTGGCCGCTACAGTGTCTCGCGGTGGCCTACCCATGTGTGGAAATAGCACTGCTGTCCTCTCAGACAAGTCTGGTACGAATTATGCCGACCCCGAAGGAATGGAAGGGTTGGTAAGCTTGTGGTTAAGGGTTATAGAAAAACACAGTACCATTATGAGAAGAAGAATTTGGAACAAAATATAAATAACGGAAGTTGAAAGCTAGAAAGAAGTTAGTAGCTTAGAAAGTTCATTACATTAGAAACTTCGAAATCATTAGAACGTCTGTATGCGAATTAGTGTCATGCTTCTTACCATTTCAACCTTATCCGGCTCATGCATAATCATTTCTTCTTCTGGTGGAAGGACCAGCAACTGTGGCAAAGGTGGAGGCGGTGGAAGAAGCGTATCAAATGCCTTAAACAGGAAGGATTCTGCCGTTACTATGGATGCCAAATTGTTTAAAAAGCCGACAAAACTTTTAAACAACGGCATCGAGGTTTAGATATCATTTAAAAGTGCAGCTAACAATTAGTTGGAGTAAGTCGAATAGGTATGGAAACAATGCAAATGTGCATATATATATATATATATATATATATATATATGCATATGCATATGCACATGCTCGAACAAGACTACCACCATGGACTACGATTGCGAGAGAAAGGAACGAATGGCATATGTACTAGGGTCCGCACAAGTAAGTATGTGCATATACATGTAAAGTACAGCCTCCTTTAGTGCGAATTTGCGTGAACTAACAGTAAGTTTTGGTGGTGGTGGAGGAGGCGGCAGAAGACCACCAAGCCCTGTAAGAACCGGCGGTGCTGGCGGTGGAGGTAGCAAGTGATCTGTCGAAGAACTCTGAAAAGAGACGAAGTACGAAGTGGTAGGCTAAGGTGAAGTACAAATCATCTACCGTTCAAGTTTATCCGAAGCATGTATGTAATTTAAGCAGAGGGCAAGATTATGGTAGGCCGACCCCAACAATGCCACTTTCAGCTTACCCCAAAATGAAAACTAACCGCTTCAGCTCGATATCGTTCCGCCTCTAAACTCGTTATGCCAACATATTTCTTCTGTTCATCCGAACATGTTTTCAAGGGCTTAGTTTTCACCACCGGCGTCCATTTGTCCTATATATTTGAAAATAGGCAGATTAACGAACCTGATTAAAAATTTCCGACTTACTGTATTTTCTTTATGCGTGATACCAGAAGAAACTGGATACACTAAGCGCAACTGCGACGAATCTAGGACGCGCTCCTGTGGAGTTTTTGTAGAAATAGACGTAGCATTCTGAAAAGCCATCTCATAACTAGGTTATTAACTCCTACTATAATGCGTAATAAGGCACGCTACTTACTACAATGTTAATCTTAATCCCATCGGACTGGCCTGCAGTTCTGACACCAAATGGATGCTTGAAGGATGTTGGGCTACCAGCTCTTGACCCGCATTTATCATCATCACTAGATACTGCTTCACCCTTTTCACGGCGATCTTCCTTATCTTGACGACGTTGAATTTGTTGACAGTAAGCTGAACACTTGTACATTTGAACTCTAAGAAAAATCTCTATGCAACATGAAGCTGAAACCTTTTTTCAGCAACTCTGATGACCGACCAGCTAAACCTAACAATTTTTTAAAAATTATATATCGCCCCATTGAACATAAAGTTGCAGCCAGGTCCACTCCAATAAATAGTAAACAATTAGAAGAAGGAACGTACAAACAAAATCATCTACACTTTTTGGTTGATTCTGTGCTTGAGGATCCAACGAACCAAGACTGATGCCCAGCTGCAATGAGAAACCCATAAATTTTATAGTCAGAGTATATACTACGATAGCTCACCAACTGCATTTTTTGCGCTTTTTTCCTTGCTATAGCAAGAAGTTTAGCTTTATCTATACGTCCTCTCCTGTATCTACCAGGAACACCACTTCCAGGGCGACCTCGATTATCCGCACCAAGTCGTCTTTTTGGTGATCTGCTTCGGCTCCTACTTCTAGAACTCCCGCTATAGCTACGAGTTCTACTACGACTTCTACTACGTGAAGAAGATCTCGAACGAGATCGGCGTGTCCTGAAAAAGAACTTGTTATTTCAAAGCAAGACCTAATCCTACTATTACAAAAATGTACACCAATGTTTTTGAGTTAAAACTCATTTGTTGGCTAACTGTTAGTTAAAACCGCAGGTTTGGTCTTTTTATAACTGCCTATGGTTACTCGATGAAAACAAACTGAATCTGCAGACTCCATTGAAATCCATCAGGAGTTCACTAGGAACCCTAAATGCTCGCTTAACGTTGAAAAATCAGTGCTAAATCAAAGCGGAGCACCGAAATCTGAGGCATAATGAGGTTCAATGGTCCACTTACTTCGGTTTGTAGTGAACGTCGCTACAACTTCGACTTTTACTACGTGTTCTACTTCGCGACTTTGAGCGACGCCGATACCTACCACGTGACCTACTCCGGCTTCTCGATCTTGAATACCGACGTCGTGATCGCGATCTTGAATACCTATACAATAGCTAGGTAGAGACTTATTAAGTGAACAGAATGATTACCAAATTTAAAAGCGAAACCATGTGAAGCGAAAATGAAAAAAATTGAGCAAAAAGTTACGAACTTTTTATGCACCTTTAATAGTTCTCAGAACTAAATTCTATTTGACTGTGCCAAATAGGGGAGATCCAAAAACAAAAATATGTATTGTAAAAGATGAAAGGAAACATAGACATCATGGCTTGACCGCTATAATTGTTCAGGATCTTAAAATGTCATTTCACTTAAAACCATAGAAGATAGTAAGATTATGCATGATAATCCAAAGAGCCACAGATCTCCCTCATATGACGGATCTCGAGCCGGTTAGTCGCAAAGCTACGTGGTGCATCCTCATGTGGCGGATAGGAGGTTAATCGCGGACCAAGAGCGACCTTTGGTTCCCAGGGACGCAGGTGGATCCAGGGGATGGACTCGCTGTTTCTGCTGCGCCGATTTGGCACATACTTTCTGTATTTGCTAGGCGTATTCACGCATGCGTGTGTGGGTGCGTTTTCGCTCATGTAGATTGTATTCCACGAATCAATTCGGTCAAAAACCTGCAATCCAGTGAGAGCGACGTATGTGGGAGGCGGTTAGGAGTCGCCTCCAACAAATAAGCTCCATGTTCACTCAGAGAGCCTAATAAGCTACCTGTGATAAGTATACCCAGCCTCTACGCTCAAAGCGCAGCAAGCTATACGTGGGTGTCAAAATGCTAAACGCAGTAAAAAAAAAACGGATCCAATTCGCCTGAATCCGAAAGAGCCCCCAATTTCGCAGCGTTGGCTAGGATGAGTACGGAGAGGCTGTTAAAATCTCGGGGCCAATGGAAGTTGCCTGGATTACAAAGAACTATGGTGACGATCTGTACCTACAATGCACGTACACTTGCACCCGAGTCCTCGATGGAAGACTTGCTTATGCAAGAAAGAATGATAAGGTACGACGTCATCGGCCTGACCGAGACGAGACGACTCCAGCCATTCAACGCCGTCTTTGAAACTGAGCTGTTGCAGGGAACATGCGATAGTAGAGGAGTCGGCGTTCTCGTCAACGCGAGTTTGTCCATGAACATCGATCCATTCGAACAGCTTACAACCCGAATCGGACGTTTACGATTAAAAAGATGTGGATTAATACCGGCTTTAACAGTCTTCGCCGTTTACGCGCCAACCTCAAATTATGACGAAGAAGAAGTCGAAGCGTTCTATGTGGACTTGGAGAAGTTCTACAGAGAAAACCACACATTCTTCAAGGTCATCAATGGAGATTTCAACGCCAAGATTGGACCAAGAAGAACGTCTGAAGAACGTCACATTGTGACCCATGGATTAGAATGGAACGAACAGGGTGAGCGGTTATCTGAGTTTACCATAGCGAACAAGACCATCCATGGTAACTCTCAATTTTAGAAACCCCACCCTCAACGCTGGACGTGGGAGTCTCCCAATGGAGAGTACCATAACGAAATAGACCACATCATAGTAAATAGAACAAAATAGGTTTTGCCTCACCGATTTCGCTGTTGCCCCAAAACTTTACAGGCCTCTAAATTCCAAAGCCGTAGTCCCAGAACCACCATAAACTAGGACTTATTCAATTCATTAGTCAGCTTTTGGAAAGATGCCGTTGTCAATTGCATCGAAGAAGAATACAGTCAGCCCATTCAACACCTTCACGCTAACTCTATAAAAGCTGAGAGTTTGAAAGTTATCAGGAGATGTATGTCTCCAGAAACACTCGAGCTGATACTCCAGCGTGGAATCGCACCAGCTACAGGCAACCGCGGACTAACGTCTGAACTTGCAAAACAATGAAGACAGGTAATAAAAGAAGATCTTAAAGAGGGAAGAACAGAAGTAATGGTCGAAGCTGCAGAAGCTGGGAAAAGTATTTGCAAAGCCCACCGACGCTTCACCAATTACAAGACCAACATGGTCGCACTCCTGCGCCCAGACGGAACAGTTACAGCGTCCAGAAAGGCAATAAAGAAAATCATTCACGAATACTACTCGGATCTCTTCGATAGCCACGTCCACCTTCCGTGATATGAAATAAAGGAGGATGGATATGTTGTACCACCTGTTCTCCTTCCCGAAATACGACATGCCCTTTCGTCAGCGAAAAATCGAACAGCACCAGGTCCGGACAGGATAAGACCAGAACACCTAACGAACCTTCCACCAGTCCTCGTAAACACACCGGCTCGGCTCTTCACACGTTACCTGTCTGAATGCAAGGTCCCTATTCAGTGGAAGACCAGCAAGACCGTGTTATTGTTCAAGAAGTGTGACATACACGATATTGGCCCATTCTGCTTACTGTCTGTCGTCTACAAACTTTTCACTCGAGTCATCCTAAACAGGACTGATAGAACACTGGACGAAGGGTAGACATGTGAGCAAGCAGGGTTTCGAAAAGGATTTAGTACGATGGACCACATCCACACGGTAACATGGCTCACTGAAGTATCGCGAGAGTACAACAGACCGCTCTGTCTCACTTTCATCGATTTACAGAAGACCTTTGATTCAATTGAGAAAAAAGCAGTCTGGGAAGCTCTTGATAGTCAAGGAGTCCCTACTCAGTACATAAAGATACTTCGTGAACTGTACAAAAATTTCATAACCAAGATCACCAATCTACAACGACATCCATATTGACGTCAAAAGAGGAATTAGGCAAGGTGATACTATCTCGCCAAAATTATTCATCGCCACCCTCCAGAACGTCACGCGATCATTGGAATGGGATTATGTGGGAGTGAAAATCGATGGTCTGCAGTTATATCATCTTCATTTTGCTGATAACATCGTCTTTATAACACCAAGCGGAACGTATGCTTGACGACTTTGATAAAGCCTGTGGAAAAATTGGTCTTCGACTAAATCTCACAAAAACGATGTTCATGAAGAACAGATTGGTGTCTTATGCCCCATTCACGCTCAACGGAATGAATATCTCCGAATGCTCCAGTTATATCTATCTAGGTCGGGAAATCAGCGTGTTGAACGATTTAGCTCCAGAACTGAGCAGAAGGGAAAGAGCGACTTGGGGAGCTTTCATGAGCATTGGGATGTAATGAAGAGAACAGAGAACACCCGACCCCGTGCCCACCTTTTCGACTTGATGGGTACTTCCTGTTCTAACGTATGCGTCAGAAACCCGGCCGCTGCGTAAGCAGGATGAAAGGTCGCTCAGCGTTTTCGAACGCGCAGTCGAAAGGGCGATGCTAGGAGTATCCCGTTCCACACAAGTAAAAGGTATGGAATTCGAAGCTCCGATCTGCGTCAACGATCAAGAATCAAAGATGCCGTTCCGCACGCCAAACAGTCGAAGATAAGGTGGGCCGGACACGTAATGTTTATGAATGGCAACCGATGGACAAGAGCCGTTAGTGAATGGATTCCTCGGGATGTCAAAGGTACTGCAGGAAAACCACCGACCCGATGGTGAGAGTTCTTCATAAAAAACCTGGAAGAAAGATATGATGGTCAAAGAGTCCCTAGAGCGAGCGGAACCTACTGCGCTACTCTTGCAAGCGACAAGGAAAAAACGGAAGATTTACTGGCGCCCGCTAGAGTCACTCGACGATCAACGGGACTACAAGTGATACAGGTGGTACGGTCCAAAGAACCCAAAATTATTGATTCGGTATTCTTTTGTGGCTTCACTTCATCTTCACATTAAATCCATCTTGTTTAAGAATATGGAGAAATCAATTTCAATGTGAATAATGCACTAATTTTAAAAGAACTCAACGAAGTGAGTGATAGGTTGCCACTGCTAATACCCAATTATTGGTAATAATAAAGCTTTCTAAATAGAAGTAAGTAACAAATGCGGGAATGAAACATGGTTTGAATTGTCAAAATGAACGAAAAATGCTCGCGAAAAATCATTCGAATTTGGTAAGGATAGCACAATTTACATTCGTTTTCATTGTGGAACCAGGTTTTATGGCTCACAATTGCTTGCTTTTTTCTCCACTGATGCTTCTTAGCGTCCTAACGGTCTGCTACCTCATCGTGGCCGGGAGACATTCCTGGGTGTCAGGCTACGATGTATAACGTGGAAATTTATTCGCCCAGTAGGGCTCCTCAAGTAGAGGAGTCCGGCGTTTCCATCAGCATGCGCACTTATAAGTAAACAAGTACCAGGATCCACCACCGTCCTGGTATCAAAATCGCATGGTGGCAAACCTCCTCCTGATCCAAAAGGGAGACGACTACCTGGGTTGGTCACGACCTGAGAAAGGCGTCGGTTAGGCTGACCTCGGGACTCCAATGAACCACAATGGCTAAAAAAGCAAAATTTTCGCCTAGGGACTCTGCAGCCTTGAAGCTCCCGTCTACGACGTCGTGTGGTGGAACAACCGGTGAGAGGCAATCAATCTCAGGTTGCACAGGACGTAATTGGAAACGGACAAAACGAACGCGCTCACGATACGTCATAGAGACTTCTCGCTGTGCACCTATAACGCCAAAGGAGTCTCCTCAGATGCCAACCTCTTCGCTCTTCTGAAGGTCGCCGTTCACATCAGATTCCATGCGATCGCTCTAGAAGAGATGAAAAACATTAGGACTGACATATGGCAACTAGATGACAGAACCCTTTTCATCCAGGGAGGGTACTTCCGGTTACGAAATGACAGAGACGTTGGCTTTGTCGTAGAGCCACCTATTTCCCAGTTAGTCACCCTATACGACATCTTACCACCGCGTATGGCCATTCTTCGTTTCCAACCTACGCGTCAGAAGAAAGTCAGTATCACCAACTGTTACTCATCAACGTGTACAGCTGATGAGAGCGAACTGTACGCGTTTTACAGCGAACTGGAGGAAGTAATCACAACGAGAAGTCTTTTTGTTAATTCGTTGTTGAAGATTTCAACATCAGATTAAAAACGTCCAACGAAAATCGATACACGATATAAGAATTCGGAATAGAACTGGGAACCGTATGGTGGGACTCCTGTCCTCAGTACGTCTCTTCCACGGAAATTCATTTTACGTTCCCAGGACAGAAAGTGGTGTCTCTTTGACATCTGTGGTACACGAATTCTGTACTGAATCTAATCACCGCCTTCACAAGATTCGATTCAGCCATCAACTGGTGAAGAATTTCTGTCATCGTCATAGAAAAACGAAATATGTCGTGCATGAGAATATTCTCAATAGTCTCCTCATTTGAGTGGAAGATAAATAAAGACCCGAACGAAGACTAAACGTTGTCTGACGAAGAACTTAAAACTTGTGCACAACTTGGATCACTTTCTCAAGCAAGATCATCACACTGCATCTCCATTACCACTAAAGAGTTTCTCGAAAATAGAAGGAAACTGATGGTTGATCCTACTGCGACACATGGTTTATAACAAACGCCACCTATAGGAAATCTTCACACGAGGATTCCCATCAGTACAGGCAGAACAGTTATTAAAAGCAGCCCAAAAATGATCCGGCATGAAGAAGTGCTGTTGCGACCTTTGCAATAACAATGTTCAGCTATCTCGCCATGAAACGGAATTGATAACGGTAAGGTTCTATACGAATCCTTTCCGCTCCACATTCCCGTCTCGGACCTCGAAATCCTCACGGCTAAAAAATCGCACGTGATTCTTGCCCCTGAAGGTCGAGTTGGGTAGAAAGCATGAAGAGAGGCACATTCATATTCCAATACCGAGGTTAAGAGAAGGTCGATCCTGAGAGACACAGCTTCAAATCTCGACAATGTCACCACCGATTTCTTCAAAGCTAGTGGACAAATTAGATGTACTTCTCACAACGTCATAGAACGCGTCTGGGTTCTAAAACGCTTTGATCTCACGACTTTGGCGTACTAAGAACTTCGCCGAAAAGAGCGCGTGTGGCGCAGTGGTCGGAGGCGCCCTGCAATATACCACGTGGAATCAATCCCCGCTATCACAACTCACCAAGCCTTCCATCCTTCCGGGTCGGCAAATTGGTACCAGACTTGTCTGGGAGGATAGCAGCACTGGTTCGATACATTGGTAAGCCACCGCGAGTTATTGTAAAGGCCGGATATGCATTCAATCACCTCCAAACGAAAATGAAGTCGAGTGTATGGCGCATCCTTAAAGGATTGATCAACACCGAGAGGCTTCATCCTTTCTTTTTCTTTATCTCGCAACACACATAACTTGAGAAAGAGGAAATTCCAGAGCATTGGGGAACCTCGCGCACGGTCCTCCTACCCAAGAACGGTGACTGAAGGGATCTTCGTAACTACCGTCCAATATGTTGGCTGAATGTACTCTACAAGTTGTTCATGATTATCTTTCTGCACATATCGAAAACCTTGGATGAGGCGCAGCCAGTTGATCAAAGATTCCGAAATGGATTCTGCTGCATGGACCACAAGCAAACCGTACCACAGGTCACAGAACTCTTGCGAATACCATCTGCCTCTTGTTCTAATCTTTATCGACTAAAGGAAAGCGTTCGGCGGAGTCGAAACAAATGCAATCCTATCAGCACTCGTTGACCAAGGAGTGAACCAGTCCTATATAAGAACATTAGCAGATTTATCGGAAATGCAGCACAAATATACAGTTTTTCTTAGCGACCCTCACTATACACACAGGAAAAGGAGCTCCACAGGTCGACACAATATCTTCAAAGCTGCTTACTGCCGCATGCAGTCGATAATGAAGTCACCCGATTAGGATGAGAAAGGCATAGGTATTGATGGAAAAGTCTAATCGAATCTTCGTTTTGCAGATGACATCGTCATCTTTCCGAATATTACCACGGAGGCAGAAACGATAGTCAGTGAATTCAAAGAAAGAAGAAAAAAGAAACTGAAAATAGCAAAAAGATCCAATTCATGAAGAACTAATGGTGCGGAAGTGAACAAATCAAACATAATGGTTCTCTGATTATAGAAACCACCTCACCACCTCATACGTGTACCTTCGACGCTCAACGAACATACGGAACAACATGAAGGAGGAATTAGACAGAAGGAGACCAGCATGGGCCGCATTCGGTCACCCAAAGGGCACACCGACCAATTAACGGACCCAAAACTCCATGCTCGCCTTTTTGATTCAACAGTCCTCCCAGCACTGTTGCGCAGCAGAAACGCGCGCTGATACTTCAATTACGTCAAGAAATCTGTGCACTACCTACACCGCACTTGAAAGATGTCTTCTGAAATTTAAATGGCACCCACTACATCTTGCCAGAATGCGCAGTTCAGATCCTCAGAACAGAAGAATATACATCAGTAATGAAACACAGATAGGCCCATCACGTATTAAGAAGAGAAGATAACAGATGGACGAACAGAATAGTGGAATGCACTTCAAGAGAACGCAAATGTCCACATGCAAGACAACCCGAACGATAGGCAGAAATATTCGTGACTAAAATCGACTATCTGCATTGGCATATGGCAACGATTTCAGGATTACAGTACGGGCTTCGCGGATGACATCATGTTTGAAGTAGGCCACCATCATGGACGACGACTGTGCAAGAAATGAACGGAAATGGGGCTGGGAGACACATAACCAGTGAAGACGGGAGGGATATCCAAGTCTCTCAGTAAGTAAGATGCTTCTTAGAAAGTTACGGCACTTAAACTAAAGATAGCATGACTGCTATGATTTTACACTATCTTTTTTAGATCTGTAACGTCCAGCGAAACACAAAAGGTTGCTTCACTTAATATCTCTACACCGCTTAAATCATGGAGGCTAGCTTAGTGATAGCTAAACATTTTCTTCGGAAACCTCACGTCGCTGTGTAACCATCGGTTAGCAACAAAAGTCCCAATCAAAAAGCACTGAATATTTAAATAATTTGACGCTCTTATTACTTTAACACAAGTTTAGCTATGGATATACTATGGAATTCTGTTAACTCGATGGGAAAACCGCGTTCTCTGTTCCAGTAAATAATTTGGATAGAATATGTATGCTCCATAAAACTTACCGATCTTCTCGTCGTCGACCACGAGAACGATATCGCCTTCTTGGTACTCTTGGTTGCAAACTAGAAAAAATAATTATTCTATTTTGTAAATTGTCCTCTTCCTGGTAAGAAGAAAACCCTAATATACGAAAATTTCGAAATAAATTACAATTCAACAAAAAGTACTAAGAAAGAAGGCCGAAAATTAGATTTCACGGAGAACCCACGCCGACGTTCGTGCCTTTATTCGTATTTCGTCTTCAGTGTTCGGACTAGAACTTTGACGTCTCGACAATCCATGTTGTTTCCTCGAACTTTTTTCCTTAGACACTAAAGAATATGCTTTAATAAACATATACAATAACAGTGGTACGCGTATTCCTGAGCATCAGAAAGTTTTTTTTTGTTTCGAGAACAACTATGAATTTCAACATCATGCAAAACCGGAAATTCGACAATTTCCATAGTAGTTGTTCCAGAAGCATGCTCAGAGGAGAATTAGTTCGACCACTTAATTCATGCACAAATCGAGGACCTAGGCCTACAAGACCAAAGCGAAATGCTGAGATTCGCTTTTATAAGGCTACATACATACACATACTTGGATGCATACATGCATATGTATGCCCATTTACATACGTGTATACATATATATATCCACACGTACACATATATTTAGGGGCGGGCTGCACAGCGGCAGTGATGCCAGTCATCGCGAGGACGGCGCAGGTTCGACCCTGCTCCGGACTTACCGAACCTCTCATGCCTCTAGGATCGGAAGATTAGTACCGGCTTGTCTGCGAAAGGTTCACTCTCTACAATTTAGTTTAGAACGCTCTAGTCCGGCTATCTTAGGACTTCAAGGAGAATCAACTCGACAATCATTCAATGATATTCATGATAAAAACAAAAAACCACAAGCACCAGTCGAAGCTACGTATAAAAAAGGTTCAAGGATGATGAATGCTGCGAAACGAATCAAATGCGAGAAGTGCTGGTATATGTACAGTAGATAGGAAAAACGGGCCGTATAAATATATATATATATATATATACATATATATATGTACATACATATATATGTATATATACGTGCATAAAGATATGCATTCATGTACACATGTGTATACATGTGTATATGTACACAGATGCATGTATTTACATATACAAATATATTTAAAATGATGCAAAAATACCATACCATTCTTCGATATGACGGCCGAAGAAGATTCAACGACTTTTGACACTCTAGAGAACTTCCCACTGTTCTAGAAACACACTGTATGAATTTTGCAAAAGTTAGAAAACACGTGTTAATTACACTGCAAGCTGAACAACACCTTTGGCTGTGCAGCCGCAGTTAATTCTTCTGCTATCTCTTTCTCTAGCTCTCCATCACTGACTGGTTCAGGAGCTGGAGGAGCAACTGATGTCAAAGCCATCGGAGACATAGAACGTTGAGGCGGAGCAGAAGGTACAAATTCAACATTCTTTTCATCTTCATCAGGCGAAACTTCAACAAAGCTTGAAAGGAAGAATTAATAAACACAACAATCACTCACGGTTACACCACTTTAGGAACACAACACACAATACCTTTCACCTTTGCTCTTATCAAGTAACCTGGGCTCGGTTTTCTTGAACCCATCACATTTCCCTTGGTTATGGTTCGCCGGGTTCTCACTGTTGACATATTTCACCTTCAAATTCCTAGGAATGAAATCGCCTCGACCCTTTTCAGCGATGACCTAAAATTGTTACAATAGGCCCAAATAGTAAAAAAAAAGGAACAAAGACAAATACAACTGCATATATGAGGACATGTATGTAGTTTTGTTATCACACAACTATTCTATGCAATCAACATACGATGTGCCATTAGTTTAACGCTTCACTACGGTTTATTGCTCATGTGTGTTAAACCACAATAGAGGCGGTTGGAAAACTCCACCCGCAAACCCAGTTCCTAAACCAATGCCCTAGCAGAACCTGGACAGGTGTTCTTAGCTGTCTTCCTGCAAAAGTAGAAAAAACGCAGAAAATCAAGTGCGATGCACTTCGTATCCGACGACCAAGCGAAGTCCATTGGACAGCCTAGTTTTGCGAAAGAGCAGAAGAGCGTTTGCCGGTGCCTGGCCGAATTACTCGATGGACAACTGATACATTCATAGTATATATACATATATATGTATATATTCCCTTAACTACATGATAAAAAACATCGGGATTCGAGCTTGCACTGAAGAATTCTCCATTTGTGCCTGACCTGTGAAGGAGTTGGACGACAAATTTCATATTTTTCAAAATAATGGTTAATAAGTCTAGCTCATCAGATCGATGATCTTCCTGTTGTGGGTCTAGGATCGCGATCTAATTGCCAACGACTCTTCCAAACTGGTTGTTCTTGAGATACTCCACATGTCGGCCTCATTCTCGACATTATCGCGGGAGTCTCCTCCATACTTGATCGTCGATTGAGATTGCAACAGGCGCCTCACCTCTCACTTGAATGACACAATCGACACTTACAGCATGGGTAACACTGACTGATGCTTTATCTTTATTAGGTGACATGCAATTTTCGAAACTCGGAGCCGCTCATTTCTTCGTTAGCTCTGAATCTAAGCTTTTATTATGTTGACATCTCGACCCAAATACACCTGACAGTAACGCTCTTAGATGTTTGTTCTGCTATAATCGGCGCATTCAAGTAAGGATAGTAGTACGCCTACGGATATTTATGATACCTTGTGCATTTACACAGAGAAGGTACTTTACTTGTCAGAAGAGCAGACACGTAGTCCACACACTGGATTCATGCTTCTCAGCGCATATACACGGTATCTATTGATTCGTGTTTACCCCTTACAGAAGAAACATGAAAAGCAACTGAAAAGTAGATGTACGTGAACTAACCTTATTAAGGATGTCGGATTCTCGTTTTGTGGAAGATGGTTGCATCATTTCATCCTCATCTTTTTTAACTGGTTTAGACAAAGGAAATGTATTGATAGATGGAGGTTTTCCAAGTGGTGGAACAACAGGCAAAGCCGCTGAAATATGATGCAATGGTAGTGCAAACATGTACGAATTGAAAAATGACAAATGATAAATTTAAAGAACAGGTTCTTTCTACAAATTTTATGCCAATCACGACTTGAGTAAGAACTTTCCACTATGACGTTCTTCTTCATCAAAATAAGGTGGGCCAATTGTTCCTCAATATTGGATCGCACAACTAGCAGTGTTGTTTTTAAATTTTTTTTTGTGGTCCCACATCACATATTGTGCATTTCGCAGCACTTCTTCCATACAATTCGTAATTTCGCATACGTCATCCATAAAGTTTGTAGATTGTGCGTGTGGATTCAGCTGCCAATTGAAGCTTTCGCTTTGTTGATTGATGCAGTTAAAAGTTTGCCCAGTAGACTCCCCGTGGAATCTGGGTTAGCTGTATTACATCGTTTTTAGCTCTAGTCACAGGACAGCGTTGGCCTTGTACATTGGAAGAAGCTCGTCCTAGACAAGTGCGTTACCAAATTTTAAAAAAGCGTAACAATTAAAGGCTTTCTTGGGTCGAGAGGGTGTCCCATCTACAACCATGCGTGTATTTCACGTTATCTACTGCGTTTCCTACATTCCAATGATGACAACTTACTCCCACATATATCGATTTCGACTATTCACACAATAGTAACGAGAATAAAAACATGTAACATTGTGATTTCAACTACAGCCGCAGCTTAACTGGGTTCTATGCCGATTTGCGCTCCCCAGACCAACCCCGCTGACGGGTGATTGCTGTGGCAAAAAGATCGATAGAAATAGCTGAGAGACAGGCGAAACGAAGGACCCGCATGGTGTGGTGGTGAACGCGTTACTCCCCGGAAAGGACAATAGCGCGTTCGTTCCCCACCATAGACACCTGCGGTCCAGAGCTTTGCAAATATCTCAGCAACGTTGTGGTTGTATTTCGCTTAGTACCCTGCCTCGAAATTATAGTAGGCAGAAAATAAAAAGGTGTAACATAGTAACTTTTCACCAAACTATTGCTATTAAAGACGATATAAAACGGAGAGGTTAGAAAATGTGCATAAAAACCTTAAGAAAGGGCCAAACATGTAAAAATAAGTACGCAAGTCTTCACAAGCCTATATTATGGCACGGTTAAAGCAGTAATTTTCGTCTAAAAAATGGTCTACTGAATAAGTGCAACAAACCCGCAATTTATATGTCAACCGATTGTTGAAAAAATCGCGAGTTGTTGTGTTGGCGAGCTTCTACCCACCACATTACTTGGAGTGTTTGATTTTCAAAGAACGTGAAATCAATAGAGATTCCGCTCATCAAATCCTTAAAGGGCCAGTAGAATAGTTCCAGGATTTGTTGCTGCCACAGAAGCTATTGGTGTCGTGGGAAAATTGAAATCGAGAGGTAGACCTTCCTCCCAGCTCCAAAGACCAGTGACTGCGATGAAGACCTGCGAAGGCTCTAGCGCAGTTATCTTAGGATTCCAGTGAAAAATCACGCTCACGCAGCATAAGATATTTCAGGGAGATAGAACACTCTGCTGCAAGCGAATTCATAAATGAACCCAATTTCTACGGACGGGGGTTACAAGACGTCGAAAGGAATAGACCAAATAATTAAGAACAATTACTAGTATGCTTTACAATGTTTAAGAAGAATTACGAGCTCAGCACCAGAATAGACCATTAAAATAGTGAGATTCTACACTGTTATCACAAGTACAATGGCATTAAATCACTAGTGTAAGACCTGATGCTGCAAATAGCGAGTACTTACAACACCATCTAGGTGAAGAACACTTGTGAATAGAGCGGTGCTCTGAAATGAAGGGGAACCCAGACCTAGTCACGTCGACTAATACCATATATTGTAATGTCTAAAAACCACATAACCGCTGCAGGAAGGATAATCAGCCGACTAACTGTAGCTTTTCTGCCTTGTACATGTCGTTGTTCAGTTCTTCCAAGGATAATGGTGTTGTTCGCCTAAAAATCGCCACAAGCTCCGCCAAGAAGAGTGATGACAGTAGATTAAAATACGAATCATGTTGCCACGACAGAATTAATTCTCCCCAATCCGAGAACTGCCTTGAAAACAGGATTGGCAAAGAATGTAATACGCCTGTTCACAACTAATCATAGCCGAAAAGCAAACTCGGTAAGGATAACACCTTTCTTCCACTTTGCCACCGATACGTCAACGAGTGTCGGAAGTCAACGACAACACCGATGTTACAAAGAAAACAAATGCAAGATGATCCCAAATGGCAGCAGAGCGACACACAACAATGAGCTGCATAACACACTTGGATACTTCGATGGCTCGTTCTGAAGGTTGTGCTGGTCCCAACATAATTTCCACTTCGTGGAGTGTTGCTGTAGCAACTATGGTTCCTTGGAGCCCCGAGGTCAGCCTGGCCAAAGTCTGCTCCAGGTCACCACTACAGTCAGCCGCAGCTCTTGTGGATCAGAGGGAGATTTGCCATCATGCGACTAGTTTGATACTAGGTCTGTGGATCCTGGCATTGGTTAAGCTTGACTGGACTTCCTGATGGAAACGCTGGACTCCCTCTCAGCTAGAGGTCTTGCAGAAGGATGAATCTCCCACTGTACATTGCAGCCCGACACCCAGTTAAAGAACCTTCCAGTCACGAAGATGTGGTAAAACGTTGGGAGGTGAGTTGCATAACACGGACTATTCTAAAAACGAAATCAGCAATGGGTTAGCGAAAGTTATAATACGACTTGAAAAATACGACAGAAAGAACCAAGTGGTCTCTAAGAGCATATACCATATATAACAAGAGACTTACACCATGATCTTAAGTGCATAAGCCCAGAGTCGTTAAGCGACCTAACAGTGGAAGGGGAGGATAACGAAACATTTGTGTACCCCGAATTGAATGATTTTTATTACCTTTTTAAATCCGACTAAACTCCCACTATGACTTCAATTTCTTTCTCAATTTCTTACAGGAAGAACAATTTCTTAAGAACTAATCGATCCAGGAAAGAATCTGAGTCAGCACTCACCCAGATCAAACGACGATCCGATTTTGCTCGATATATTTATTTTCAACTTTGCTTCTTTCATAACTGTCCGGAAGTCGGCTCCAACCGGTAAATCATCATCGTCGGAGATCTAAAGAAAACTGTTCAAACGAACAAAATACCTTGACGATAAACTGAATTTTTATGGAAATCACCTACGAAAAAGAAAAATGAAAGCCGAGGTCAGAAATAGAATAGCTACTAAGAAATCGCTAACCTCATGGATTGTACTCCGAACTGGGACGGGAGGACTCTTCGCTGGAAGGACATCGAAGTCCGACTTGTCCTGCTGTGGTACTTCCCCGGCTTTCTTTATACAATTAACCAGTGGAGGAGAGCGTGTACAACTTCTACTTCTCGACCTCGACCGAGTTCTAGAAAAAGAAAAACTCCTATTTTCTTGGATTGTTAAGCTAACACGACATTAACAGAGGTGTTTATTCAGCCATCTCGACGTCTAAGTTTTCATCAGCTTTTTAAACAAATTATAAAATAAATCAGTAAGTGTCCAAAACAATCAATAAAAGTCCTACTTATCAGCACCTAGGTAAACTGTGCCAGACAAACCTCTTCCTATGTTTCTTACGAGATCCAGATCGCGATCGTGAACGTCTTCTCGAACTGCTACGGTGTCGCTTTGAACGATGTTTCTTCTTCTTCTTTGATTTCTTATGTTTATGTTCCTTGGATTTCTTCTTCTCTTTTGCTTTCTTCGCAGCAGTCAGGTCTTCAACCGAGAATGGCTAAACACACACGGCTGAACCATAAGGTACTTCCCAGTACTGCAATAGTCACGAAGAAGTTCACTCTACTCTTTTTCAAATCAATGCCTAACTTAACTTTAGAGAAACCACTTCACTAAGAAAATAAGTTAGGAAAGAATAGACTAGATACAACCTATGCATAGCCATTTTAGAACCCTGCAGTAGCAAAAATCCAAAAGTGGATGTCATTTGGAGCAAATTGATAGAACCTGACGAATTTCGAAAAGATCTCTTAAGTTAATAACCTTCTCTGATTGCCTCACATCATTGAGAAGATCCTTGACGATGTCGTCACTAGTGGCGAGCTTGTTCGTGCCGTAGTCCCCATTAGGCTCCCCGAACAGTACTGGACCTGCTGCACTCCCCACGGCAGTACCATTCTTCTGTTCAGCTTTATCCATTCGGCAGATTTTCGGATTTGTGTAAAGAAAATCAACGACACACGAAAGAATCGCAACAATAAACCCAAAGTAAAGAGTGGATGGATATCGCCCCGCTGACACCCAATATCAACCGGACCCACGACGCTGTATTAAAGGTCTCGACGCATCACTTGGGTCCTAAAACGATAAATTTGTCCCTGAAACGTCCAAACTGGATTCGTGCCAAAACTAGTCGTGTTCAGATCACTGATTCATTGCAGTAACGTTTTTCACTCTTTATTGATCATAGGACAGATTCTCTACACTATTTAAAGCTCTGAATTCTTCCAGAAATCATACGGGACTTGAACTCCACAGAAGGAACCGGTTTTCCTGTTCATTAATGCTTTCTAATAAGTCCTTGCACTACAGATGTGGTCAACGTGTTACTGCTGTTCGTTTGAGTTTATGATGCCGTTTTGTTCTAAAGTATTGCTCCTGGCGGTAGCACATTAGCACACAGCTCGCCTGACAGGCTTGGCTGTTAGATAGTTGTAAGCGACAAGAAACGCCGTTTTATGCGCTTCTCAGTCAGATTGCTGGCATTACACATATGCATGTCTATACGTGTGTATATGATCGTATGTATATGTGTACATATGTGTGTATACTATGCATATTGACGTGCGTTCCTATATTATGACATGGATATGGCGTGTGTTAGATGTACAGCGTGGACCATAAACCTGACTCCTGAATTGGAAAAGAAGTTTTCGGTTCGAGGAAAGAATCTCAGGAAGATTTTATGGACGCTTTGGTGTACGTTTTGCCATCTATTGGTCCCTGGGTTGCGTCGTGTAACTTCTCAAAAACTGGGTCGAGACAGAGATTCATTGAGAGCATCGATGTGTAGATGGGTTTGTTTGTGGATTTTGTCAATATTAAGTATATCCAGTATATTTCAGTACACTCAGTACTCAGTATGAAGTACTTGAAGCAAACCTTCAGAGGTCATTTGTGCGTAGGTAAAAAGTTTAAGGTCATACTGGGTGGTTTTCGCGATATAAGTCCAATAAGAGTGTGTAGACTTACTATGTTCTCGACTTAATGTCGTGTCAGTTGAGCATCTTTTTTTTCAATTATTCATACATTATGTTTTTTCTACTCCATCTTCTTATGGAATGTCTTGCTTGAATACGTAAAGCGTTATCTCTAGAGTCTATGACGTCAAGTCTCAAGAGACTTAGTGATTTCAAGTCTAAAGTCTCTAGAGATGTTTTGACTTCGATACCACCTAAACTGCATAAATGTACTTTTGACATCAAAAGTCTTTTTTTCTGGTTTTACTGACGTTATGATTTGGATCCTCCCAACGGTTTACCGCCTCATCGTGGCTGGGAGGTGTTCCTCGGTATCGACTGCGATGTGTAGCGGAGAGATTCGTCGCTCTGGCAGGGTCTTCCACGCTGAGGAGTCCGGCGTTCCCATCAGGAAGCCCAGCTAAGAGTAAGCCAATACTGGGTCCATCACCGTCCTGGTATGAAAATAGTCGCATGTTGGCAAATCTCCCTCTGATCCACAAGGGTTGCGACTGCCTGTGGTGGTGAAGACCTAGGGCAGACTTTGGCCAGGCTGACCTCGGGACTCCAGGGAACCATAATGGGTTAGCCAGCAAATCTCCGAAAAATGGTGATTACACTGGAGCCCACAAAACCAATGAGGACGGGCTATACAAGTATTAAGTATTTTTTGAATAAAAGGCGTTTTGGGACCTCCTGCTTATTCTATTCGGGACATCACTTGCTTAAAAGTGAAAGTTTTGACTTTTTTCCAGTTGCATTTCTTAATGATATGGTTTTTGAGCTTTTTTGGCTTAGGTTTAAGTGTGCTGTGAAATGGCTTAGTTCTTTTTGTTCATGGCGATTTTCTAAATAGACATCCTTGCTCATAAGGCGCAATACAGCTGCAAATGTCGTTACTTTCAACTTTCTAGTCTGAGGATCTATATGTTTTTGTTTAGTCATTCGTTCGAGAATGTTTGGGTTTTTGCAGACCGATCGTTGACAACATTTGCATATTGCAGTGTCGAAGACAAGTTGGTCTCTTGCACAAAGTATACGTTAGGTCTGTATGGATTTCATGCATTCTGAAGCATTCCTACATGGAAGTTCTTTATCATATCACCAGTTTTACCATTAGTTCTGGTGAGAAAAAGTTTCTCCTATGATAAAAGATGCGCTCGTAGTAAGTTACACGTCTGCCTTAAGAGACGGACAGAAAAGAACGGACATCGACATTTATACAGTGGTCAATAGTGTGCATATCTAGCCTTCACTCGCAGTGGCCCACTGATGTATCGACGCAGTGCTGCCATCGTCGCATACAAGTCTAGTACCAATTTACCGACTCCGGAGGGACGGAAGGCTTAGTGGGCCATAGGCGCGGCGATCGGCTCCACGTGTGTGTCGTAGGGTGCCTCTGACCACGCGCCCCTACTCAATCACCTCCAACGATGATTAGTGAAGTCAAATGCATGGCATATTCCCGAGGGATTGATAAACACCGGAAGCTTTATTATTTATCCATTACGAGTTTTCTGGAAGCTCGAAAATATATGCTCGACACCGTCGGCGACATAGTATTATGTCCTTACTTACAATTTTCTCTTACTGAATTCTTTAGTAACGTTGATCTTGGTCATCATTAAACCATCGAACATTTAGCAGTTTATGGCAGCTGTATGACAAGGCTTTACTACAGTATATGTGTGTAATGCAGTGGTTGGAGGCGCCCTGCATTACACGTGGGATCGATCTCCGCGCTCTAAGCTCACCAAGCCTTCCATCCCTTCGGGGTCAGCAAGTTTGTAAATGCATGGCGCATCCCTCAGGGGTTGTTGAACGTCGAGAGCTTTATTATTTATCCATTACGAGTTTTCTGGAAGCTCGAAAATATATGCTCGACACCGTCGGCGACATAGTATTATGTCCTTACTTACAATTTTCTCTTACTGAATTCTTTAGTAACGTTGATCTTGGTCATCATTAAACCATCGAACATTTAGCAGTTTATGGCAGCTGTATGACAAGGCTTTACTACAGTATATGTGTGTAATGCAGTGGTTGGAGGCGCCCTGCATTACACGTGGGATCGATCTCCGCGCTCTAAGCTCACCAAGCCTTCCATCCCTTCGGGGTCAGCAAGTTTGTAAATGCATGGCGCATCCCTCAGGGGTTGTTGAACGTCGAGAGCTTTATTATTTATCCATTAACAGTGTTCTGGTGGCTCGGATATACACGTGCGTTCGGCGACATGGTGTTATGTTCTCAGCCACAATTTCTTTCCAAATTCTTTAGTAAGTTTAATTTTGGCCCTCATTGAACGTCGAGTCGTCAGCACCTTATGGCGACTGTGTAACTAGAGCTTGCTATTGTATCATATTGTTTTACTATTTACGTACTGCTATTTTTAGACTCTCAGATTGTTAAGTATAAACCTACTGGTTGAGAACAGAGACGCTATGGATATTTTGCTCTTTTTCTTTTCTTGTTGTAACATTTGCCGGTGTTCTGGACTGCATTAGAATCGGAGTATGCAGAGAGACGAGAGAGGTGGTAAGCAATCATCTCCGCCTGTTCGGCGGTTAGATACGAAGACGACATCTGCAGAACAACCAATACTTTTTCTTTCTATTCCCCACTGATATTGGTTATTGTTCGGAAGCTTTGTCTGCTAAGTAGAAACATTCACTTGTTTGGCTATCAGTTTGACAGAGCGAACGATTAAATGCTTGGAGGAGTTCTCTTCTCTTTTTTGCTAGAGACAGGTGAGGTCTGAAGCTTTATGAAGTTGAGTACCACCTAATTTTTCTTCTTCATTCGCTTTTCATCGACAGCTTAGCAAAGATCCGACTGATTTGTTTTGATTTGTTCGGGTGGGTTGTTAGAGTTTTTTTTCCTTCAAACCGGCTTCGTCGTTCATTTGAACTCAGTGTAATGTGAAAGTTGACTAGATTGCAACTACTCCTCTAGAAGTCTTGTTTTCATGTGTGTTAATTTTTTCTAACTATTTTTTGATTTGAGGCAACTAAAACTAAGAGGCAGGCGAAACGAAGGACCCGTATGGTGTGGTGGTGAACGCGTTGGCCTTGGAAAGGGTAATAGCGCGTTCGTTCCCCATCGCAGACACTTGCGGCCCGTTGTTTTGTAAATATCTCATCGCCCTTATTGTTATTTTTTGGCTGCTTGTTTTAACATCTTCATTTTACTAAGTTTTAACTGTGCAGAGTTTCAAGTCTGATCTTTTTCCCTGCTTCGTTGACCTAGTTGATGGGAAAAAAGATCACTTCGCATAATTCGAAAAATGACCAAGTTCGTGAAAATTCATGGTGCAAAGGTGAAGAAACTGAATTGGATGGCTCTCTCATTGCAGAGAACACCTCGTACGTATACCGTGGGCGATCAACGAACATGGAAAACAACATGAAGGAGGAACTAGATAGAAGAAGGAGAGCAGCTTGGCCTGCATTCGGGTCTCTCAAGGAAGCCACCGACCAACTGAAGGACCCGAAAATCCGCGCTCATCTCTTTGATTCTACGGTCCTCCCAGCGCTCTGTTATGCTGCAGAGACGTGGGTTGATACTTCAACCACGTCAAGAATGCTTCGCACTACTCACAGAGCGCTTGAGCGACGTCTTCTGAAATATAACCGGCACTCTCAATATGTAGCCGGAATGCGAAGCTCTGACCTTCGAAATCTGTCACATCTTCGAGATCCAGGAGAATATACATCGACAGCGAAACATTGATGGGCCGGTCACATAATGAGGAGAACAGACGACAGATGGGCGAAAAGAACAGTAGAGTGGACTCCAAGAGAATGCAAACGTCCCCTTGGACAACCACCTACACGTCACGTTGGACGGACGTGTTCGTAAACAAAGTTAATCAGGTGTACCCGCAGCTGCAGTTGTTTCACAGATCACAGTATGAGACTCGCAAGCGCTACCATGTTCGAACAAGACCACCACCATGGATTACGATTGCAAGAGAAAGGAGCGAATGGCATATGTGCTGGGGTCTGCACAGCTCGTGAAGACGGACCGTCCAAATATCCAAGAATTTCAAGTTGTTTTTCCACATATTCATCTTTTTTATCAATATCTCAAGTCTTCCGCTAGTTGTAGATATCGTTATTTCATGAAGAAAGCTGACCTTTGTGCTCTAATTTGGGATTTTTTGTCTTTTACTATTTTGATGTAACTCCATTGGTAGGTGTGAGAACTCCCATAAGCATAACATTTTCTTGTGTCGAATTCTCATTAACACTGACATTTATTAGTAAATCATTGTGTTCTTTGAAAGGCTGACAAGAAATTGTTAAGGCAAAACTGTCTAAAAGAAAAGCGCTAGACAAGGGCTTCAGTAGTGCAATGGGTAACACGTGAGCTGCCGGAAAGAACAGTCACTGGTTCGAGTCACGCTTGGGTTGAAATTTCGCAAATATCCCAGCATCATAGTAGTAACGTTGAGAGGTTTATTGTGCTGTACATGAGATCACTGTGGAATGGAAACTTCTTGGGTAGTTAGTGGTTAACAGCTCTGGAGAAATCGATGTTAGCCAGAATGTTATCCACTGCTCTTTGTTCATGTCAACAAAATTTTGCCGGCTGGTCAAAAATACACTTTTTTCGACTTTTCAAATAGTTTCCTCGCTGTGAAATGTAACCACAATGATGCTGGGATATTTTCAAAACTTCAAACGTGTGCGGCAGAGAGAACCATGCTATATTTTTTCCGGCGGCTAACGTGTTCTCCACCACACCTTGCATATCCTTCGTTTCGCCTTCTTCGTTTTCCTACTGTTTCAGCTGTTCATTTCGAAAGTTTGTCACAGTTTTCGAATGCTCTATGTTTGGGAAATTGGGATCTTCTCCAAAAATCGCTTGTAGCTTTTTTATCTGTCTTCGTTTCCTTTCTTCCTGTTTCACGATACTTTGTTTTCAGTCAGCTTTTCTGTATTTATTCTTATTCTGTGATATTCTTTCGAGTGCAATCAAGCTAGAATACTTGCTTGTTTTTGATACTGTTAGGAGATTCGCTTTCAATGCGTTTTCGTAGGCATTGGTTCTAAATTCTGTCGACTGCTGGACATCTAGCGATGAATCATGTGAATAATTCGACGAGCTTAAGCGTTGATCAGATTCGACTGATTAGTGTGTTTCAGCGTCACACAAACCTTAGTGAGATGCAGTCCATTGATTTTCTTCAGGGTTCGTTTACGTTTATATACCTATTGATTGTTAAAGTACTTTTATGTATTGTTCAAAGATTTTTCTTAATGATGTTTGAAAGGGTAGAGGTGTGGTAACTTTTCATATATTCATATCATCCTGGCATATGTACACAACTTATGACTCTGGTACTTGCGTTTATGTTAAGCTGATGAATTTTTTGATTCCGGATAGTGTTTTGAGCCTTATGTTTTCCCAACGTGTAGCGCAGTGCTCAGAAGCGTCCCACAATACGCATGAGCTCGATCCCGTCGCCCCACATTCATCAAGCCTTCCTTCCCTCCGGGATCGGCAAATTGGTACTCTACTAGTCTGGGAGGATAGCAGCTCTGGCTGTATGCATTGGTAGGCCACCGTGAGTCATTGTAAAGACCAGTTATGCATTAAGTCATCTCCAGCGGTGCTTGATAAAGTTCAATGCATGGCGCATCCTTCAGAGATTGATCAACGCCGACGGCTTTATCGTGTATCCTTTATGATTTTTTTTTGTTGGACTGCATATCATTAAATTATCCAACATAGTGTTATATATTGACTAGGTGTTTTTTCGTGTGTTTTTCTACAGAAACAACCTTTGAACCTTATTTTAATGGGCTTGGTGATGTCGAAAAAGAAAGGAACTGACGAGAAATGACAAGATTGCTGAGATATTTGCAAAACTCCGGACCGAAGGGGTCTGCGGTGGGGAACGAACGCGCTATTGTCCTTTTTTGGGAGTAACGCGTTCACCATCACATCATGCACACCATGTGGGTCCTTCGTTTCGCCTGTCTCTTAGCTAGTTCTATCGATCATTTCCGTCAGCGTTCACCCGTTAACGGGATTTATATGGGGAGACCACATCGGCATTGAACCCAGTTAAACTGAGGCTGTAGTTGAACGGTGAACGCGTTACTCCCCGGAAAGGACAATAGCGCGTTCGTTCCCCACCGCAGACACATACGGTCCGGAGTTTTGCAAATATCTCAGCAATCCTGCGGTTGTACTTCGCTTAATACTCTGCCATAAAAATTGTAGAAGGAAGAAAATAAAAAGTAAATATTGTGACAAATCATTTATAGTTTGTGCGAGAGGCTGACCGACCATGAAGAGTTTTTGAGTGCTGACGTAGAGCTGATAACGACGTTTAGTGTCGCTCGATTGGCGACGCAAGCAACGTCTTCTTGTCCATTGAACAATTTTTTATCACGATAAAAGTTTTAAGAAAACGGTCACGCGATGAGTAGTGCTTGACATTTTTGGTGAAGAGCCATGCTATTGGAAACTTGTATGACTGCGACTACGTCGGGAATTGAATACTTGAGATTTAGCGTTTCGGTATCTCCAACTAGTATTTTTTGGTCAACAAGTTCTAGGTTAAAATCTTAGCGCTTTTTTGTAACACCTGCGTGTTTCCGCACTTTTCGCTGTCGTCAATGCTTTCAGTTTCATACCAAATGAAGGATAAATATTGAGCTCCGTGTTTGCACTGCTCTATAACCAAGGCTTTAAATTGTTTAACAAGTAAATGTCCATTGGATCGAATCATATTTAGGGCCATAATGTTGTATAGTATTTAATGGCAATCATTTTCTGTCAATGCATGTTTAGTTTGCCTGAAACATGCCGTTTTAGGCTTTTTCGTCATCATAGAATACGTCTAAATCTCATAGTTGGTTCGTATTGTGCTCCCTGTTTGAATTGTGCATTTTACGGCGTACTGATGATGGTTTTTTTCACCGAAAACCGGGAACGAAATCGTGGAGTGTGGAATTTTTGTCACGAAACAGGTTTTGGAAATAGGAGCAGATTAAACGAACTTATCGATTTGATGCATTATTTAGTTTCACATCACTCAGAACTACTTTAATAACACAAAGCTAGCTGCCTTATTTTGTTTCTTGACGGGCTGCTTGCTCTCCGGATGGTGTTTCAGTTCCATTATGTCTTGCTTATGCTAGTCTGGTTAGTCTATAAATCTTTATAAGAAATTCTTATAATGTGAGGTAAGAAAAAAGAATACGAAACGATTTTCGAAATGTTTTCTAATCTAAAGCGTCGGAAAATTTTAGAGAGGTTTTCAGAATGTGAATGGGATTTAGCAGTGGCGTTGAAGAACTTTGAACTGGATGGTGCACGAGAAGAGGTAGAATCCATGACGCCTTCAACATCAAACGGTATTTTCGTTGTTATTTAATCGCCATTTGCAATAAAGACCATTTTATTCTTTGTTCAATTGTTTTATTCTTGTAAACCGTCCTTAACTCTTTTGCGGTGACGCTGATTATTCGATAACTGATGGTAATTTCTCGACGTGTGCTTTCAAATTTAAGTACTTTTCGAATTGAAGTTCATTTATTGTAGTAAAGCAGAAGAGAGAATATTTTTCCTGCACGACATTTGTCTGTTCGAGCAGTTTGTGCTGCAACTGAAAAATTCGCTATGAGCTGAGATATGTTGATTTGAAGTTAGAAGCGGGCATTATTTTCATATCGTTTATCTCCAAATCTAAGAGTCATGTGGGTGGTAATAAGCTGACGTGGAGTTGTCAAAACGTTTTTTGGTTTCCAAAACTTATATTTAAGCGTCTTCGCCTTCTTTCATGCAGGAGGAGGTTTATTGCATACGCATATTCTTTGAATAGTTATACGGGGTCTTCATAGAATCTCAAAAGGGAGACGTCAAAAGTAGTAAGATGAAAACAGTTGCAGTTTCGTCGTTATCCACTTTCTTAGAGGTAAGAGCAGTTATATGATGCGTGCATGCGATAAAAAAATCATTCTTAGATGTTGTGTTAAACTTGGGATTCGTTTAAAACACGTCAAGAATTTTAAGACAGTGGTACGTTGTTGTCTCCAAGGCAACTAATTCGTTCATGCGACATATTTTATTACCACTTTTAAATCCAATTATAATGTGTCGCTTTTAGACAAAGTCACAGGACTCGGTGAATGTGGTTCGCGAAAACTACATACACCTGGTTATGCGTTTTGTCTGCCGAACTTGGAACGACTGGCACCAGATTTCCGAAATTTTCTCGAGAGAGACCTTATTGAGACGTCGATGCAAAAGAGATTGGAAGCTTCAAGTAATTGTTATTGCTCATGTTTTTTAATGATTCGACATTGCCTACAATCATATATATGCGTGTATATACATATGTATAGGCGTGCACTTATAGGTATATATGCGTATATATACGTAGATATATATACGTATATGTGCATATATAGACTTATATATATGTACCAAAGAACAGGAGCAACACATTGTTTGGTATGAGGCTCTTTATTTGTTTAACTTCTGCGATATACCTCCGCATAGGTCTATTCTCGGCTGGATTTTCCTCCAAAAATATTGCAGACTAGGTATATAAATGTTTATATAATAATATGTGTAAAATGTAAGTATATGTTATATAAATAAATACTATAAACATATATTTATATGTACATAAATATGTATGCGTATGTGTATACATATATATATGTATACATATATGTATATATATATGGGATGGGTAGCGCAGTGGTTGTGGTTCCGTTGTTCACAAGCACGCCCCTAGTTCGGCCGTTGATCGGCTTCGTCAAGCTTCCTATCCTTCAAGGTTCGGGAACTTGCTGCTTGTCTGGGACCTGATAGTCCACGTGCGAACGCCATAGCACGGTTATCTCAGGAATCCTAGTAGAATCGACTCGATTAACATTGAAAATCAACAACGTTTACAATGAAGACGGCAATCCCCACGTTCTAACGTTCGAAATCTTTCATGGATATTGGATGTAAGGAAGCGAAGAGAATGAAATAAGTGCTGAGATCCGTAGAGTAGCTGTGCAGACGAGTCATGTAAATTGTAAAATATTTGTGTATATATCACACATAGACGTATATGCGTGTTTATATATACATATACGTACACACATATACGTATACACTACGTATACACATATATGTATATGTACACATGTATGTACGTTTTTACGCATATACGTATATATTCGTATATGTATGTTATATATACTATACATATATGTACGTATTCATCTATATATAGCGGGTTTTAAGTTCTGATTTTGGTTGCTTGTAAAAAACCTTTATTCAATGATGCGACTACTCAGCGTCATCACTGATAGAACGCTATTTTGTTAAAGGTTTTGGATCGCTTTCTGCCATGAGAACCACAAGATGGTAACCACAAGATTGGTGACTTTTTGGAGTTTTTCTGTGATAGGATTGACGTTATTCATTTGCTTCGGCTTGACTAGCTCCTAGTAAATCCTTTGGCACTTTGGAAGATGGACGTCGTTAGATTGCGCACTTATAAATGGAGTCTAACGTACTTTCGTTTCCATTTATGATTTTATTAGAAAATATTGCCATTGTGGGAGAAGCAGCAGGTATTCGCTGACTCAAACGGACCGGTGGAGCTCGGTGGTGTTAAATGAGATCTATCTCTGATGTGGCCCACTACACTGACGTGCATTTGCGAAAGAGGGTGTTCTCCCGGTCGCATGTGCTTGGATGTGGACGTGGCTACGGTCGAGTGCGCATTATCATCGTAAAATGTGAGGGGTGGCTTAGGTTGGAGCAGATTTTCATAGTTAATCTCAGAGCCTCGTGGAACAGAAGCACAATATCTGTTCGCTTATAGTATTTGGCTTAAGCATGGCGATGTTAATTTGGGTGGTCGAACTGTTTCAATGGAAGTGCTCGTAAAGCATGTTGTTTGGGATTTCTCAGTATGAATTGAAGGGAACAATATCTGCGTAGATAAGCACTCGCCCGAGCATTACTTCATGTATTGTTGCTTTTATTCAGAAGGTGTAAGTCTGCGTAGCTGCGTTTAATCTATGTTTAACCTTCCATCCTTCACTGCTTTTCGCCTGGTTATAATCCACTTACCTTTACGATCGATCTTTCGATATAAGTTATCATGTATGTTCAGAACACTTGAATTGGTGGCATCAGTATGGACAGAAGCTCTATCCTCTTTCAACAACTGGAGATGGTAATTGTCTTCTCCATGCAGCGTCTTTAGGTTGGTGATACATTGAACATACTTTGGAACAACTTATTTTTCTAGGAGACTTTCAGGTATGTGGGGTTTACATGACCGACAACTTACGCTTCGTGAAGCTCTTTATGAGATGTTGAAACGCGGATCGAGACGTACTGCTCTCTGGCGCCGCTGGAAATGGGCGGAACATCACGCAAATCAGGTACTTTTAATAGTGTGTATTTGATCAACAACTTTGTATAGGAAGTTTATTATGGAAGGTTTTTTTGCGGAAACAGAGTGGAACATACGATAATTATGACCTATCGAAATATTTTTATAAGGATATTAAACTTCAATTTCAAAATGATTCTTAATACGATTTTTCACTAGATCCATGTCCCCTTACTGGATTGTCTTAATCACTAAGAAGATCTAGGTGTATAAGTCACGTCACTCATCTCAGTATACTTTTCTATTTTTTAGTATATCATCTCAAACTCTTCGTAATTCTTAAGGCAAGTGGTCTTAGTTTGACATTATCGGATGAAGAATGGATGCAGGAATGGAATGGTATTGTGGCGTTAGCATCGCCAATTCCGAGGTATTGTGACTTTCCTGTTATCCTTTGTGACCTTTTCTCTGTTATACTAACGGCTTTGCCATCGTTTTTATTGTTGATTGCATTAGTTCTTTACAAATTTTTGTAGGAGAACGGATGACTCAAGTTCCGATTCGACCGATCAGATCTACGAAAGTTTAGAAGCTGTTCATGTTTTTGCGCTTTCTCATGTCCTTAAAAGACCAATCATTGTGGTTTCAGACACGGTTCGTTTCTACTACGGCTTAATGGGTCTCAAAAATCTTTCAGAACAACACCTTTTAGGTGTTGCGAAATGCGAAAGGAGAAGAGTTATCACCGATATCCTTTGGTGGAATATACTTGCCGCTGGAATGTCCTTCAGAGCAATGTCATAGGTGAAGGATCTCTTTCTTTAGTCAATATTATTTCTTTATAAGCTGATTATCACTTTCATGCGGAATCATTTTGTGTCTTATCGCTTCGTTCTGTTCCTTTATGTCGCCTTTTTAACTCTTCTTTTTTTTCTGAAGTTTTCTTTATTAAGATCACCGTTGGTGCTGTGCTACGACTCAGCCCACTTCTCGCCTCTTGTTCCAATGCGACATGATTCATCACAAATGCGTGAGTTGAACAGCAGTGGTAACATTATGTTTAACACTGTTCATCATCTCTATGGGTTTTAATTCTAGTCGTGCTACTAATGCTTTTCTTAATCGAAGAGTTGGAAATGCTATTTACACTTTCATTCTTGAGTGAGCCGGGAAAAAGGAAACCAACAACCCTCTTGAGTGTATGAAATTAAGGGAACGCCAATAACTTCGCAAGCAAACTTTTTATGTTTGCCAATATTTTAAAATTTGTATAGATGAATTTGGTATTCACCCGTGGGATCACGGTTGCCTTTGCTAGATTCGGTTATCTTTCATTGAGAATTGAGATTTCAGTGTGGTTAGGTCTGCTTCAGTTATTTTCCATTTATTTTAATGCTGTTGCTAGTGTCTGTATGGGAAAATTGGTTTTTGATAGGGTTAGAATACTTCGAATATGTTGATATTCGTTATTCTGACAGCAAAGAGAGTTCAAGAAGTTTATTTTTATTCCGAATTTTGAACATTCACGAGAACAAACATTTGATTCGATACACTTTCTTCGCTATTGCTTCTTTTGTCTCACAATTTTTTTTTTTGGATACTTTTATATTATTTTGATTTCGTCGTCCAAGTAAGTTGCTTCGCAGATCACAAAAAACAGTGATTAGGGCTATTTTGTCTCTCTTTACCTTAGCGGTCAAAGTATCCTTAGTTGAAAGTACATTAACCTTAGCTTAAGGTACCTTAGAAAGCGTTGCTTATGAAAGTTTCAAATGACGAGAGATTACTTGTTTGTATCATGAAACAACTATCGGGACTTGGGTACTCATGAATGTGTTGAATAAGTATTAAGGCCGATAATCACTTTGCGTTACGCGCCACGTCCTTAACAATTTTACTGAGTGAAATCTAGTTTATGCTTTACTGCACTCGTTTTAAAATGTACTGTAAAATATTTCAATACTGAGATTCTAAATTTTTTTCCCGATTTTCGGCGTGTTTATACTACGGAAAGAATTTTACTGATCGCTTTTTCGTGCTCTCATATTGTAGTGGTACCCAAAGACAGTTATCAGTCATCTTCATACCATTTGTCAGTCGTACCTTTTAAGTGACATACAATGAGATACAATGAGGGATAGATTCCCTTATTGAAGAAATTCTTGCTCAATGGATTTCATTTTTACAACTGCAGAGTTCCTTAATACTGTAATAGCAACTTGTAACTCTTACGATTTTTTTTGCCCATTTTCAATTACTTCAAGACTGTTGTTCTTCTGTAAAAGAATCATTAAAGGGATATCAGAGCTTTCATCCATTCATCTTTCATGTAAAGAAATTACTTTATGTTCATCATCAAGTATTGTATATTCATATTTCAGAAATCATTCCCATCACCGATTTCAATAGGAATTTACTACCCGTGCACTTCGTAATTGATCCAGGTCCAGATTTTAGCTGGTAATACTTCTCATTTCTGTTTGTGTTCATTTTTTCTATGCTTGAAAATAACTGTGATCTATGCCAGGTGTTCCCATGCTTCATCTACTCAACAAATGTAAGATCACCTTCCGCACCTAGAGAACATAGAGCTTTCGATTTATCGTTTTTTGCAAACTGCATGGTCTTTGATACTGTAAATGTTGTGTTTTCCACAGAACTAATCCGGGGTTTAAATGCTTGAAATCGTTCAAGGTGGAGCGACGAAGAGGACGCATCAATGGCGGCGCGATTGACGATGACGGATGGCGATAAGTTGGTGTTGTTGAGCGAATATATGGATTTGGTGAAAATGGATGTACGGCGTGGTAGCGTGAAGAGAACGCGACCGATTCGTTCACCGCAAATGACGACCAGTCTGGAGAAAAGTATGACCCTCGCTAGTAGTGGTTAGTTTAGTGCTTAAGATTTCTTAAATTCTAATGCGGTTCTTCGTAGATACCCATTCTTTGTATAGTCACCTTTCATTATATGAGCTCCCAGAGTAGCTGTTTGAAGGACCGGAAGACATTTTAAGGAGGAAAGTGCGATCCTAGTAACATGTTAATGAAACCTATTTGTTGCTTTCTGTAACATTTCTTTTATGTGACAGCTTATTCGTACGATCTATTAATGAGCTCTATAAGAGCTGATGCTTACAGTTCTAGGAAATTTTATATTATCTATATTGTTCCCATTGTTCATTGCATGGTATGAATCGTCTTGTATGCATCCTTCATCCGATTCTTTTTTCTCGCATCTGTCAACGCGATGCTCTTTGAATTGTTCTATTGATCTGTTGCTGCTCAAAGATTCGTGGTTCTTATGAATGTTGTTGAATGCCGATCGAGTAGATTTTGTCAGGAATCCTACGCTAGCTATGGGAGAGCGTTTCCAAGTCTCCACTACAGTTCTCTTTCTCTCTAGCACTCGTTTATCGATCTCGTGAAGGTCACCTAATGCTGCAAAACTTTTTCACTAGGAATAACTCCGCTGACTGTTAATTTGGTGGGTCTCCATTGCAATAAGATCAAATCCGTTCCGTGTATTAAAACTGAGAAATGGACAAAGTATCTGGAAGCGGGTAAATTGAACTTAAAAATATATACATATGAAATCAATGACTGTATGGCTGGTAATTTTCGAAATATCGCTAAGACAGAGATGATGCCGAACGAAGCTTCGCGAGGCAAAGGGTTGGTGCTACAAATTAATTCAAATCAACGAAGAACGCATGTTATGAGGTGCAAAGACTAATCGTAGGTGGATTAGAATCACAGAAGCCACATTCCTGTGTATCTGAAGAGAGCCTTAGACTGAAAAGTGTCCGTATGTCAATGCTACTACTTTAGTTACTGTAAAAGTGAAGTAACTACGTTTAGACCACGTAGAGTTGTGTGTCATCGAGATAGTTAATAAGATATGTTCAGTCGCTGTGCACATCCAACATTAAACCAGGATCCGACGATGTCGTTCTGGTTCCACATTTCGCCACGTCATCATCGCTGCTTGCTGCTTGCTTTAGTTGAATGCTGTCAAGGTCTCACGGATTCGGCTTTTTGGATGTTCATTGGTCTACAAATTTTTCATTTAATCTTCTAAAGTTTGAAGTACTTTGGCGAGTAGTTTTCCCATATTAATAACCAGTTCAGACGATGGATAGAGCATCGAAATTGAATCAAGACATAGCATTTACTTAGACGGAAATTTAGATATTGAAATTTCTCAATGTTAACCGAAAGTACGGGGCAAATAGGACAGTGAAAGTGATGCCTGTCATCACGAGCATGGTGGGGATAGATCCCTCTCCGGACTTTAGCCTGTCATCACTCCGGGGTCGGTAACTGGTATCGGAGTTGTCTGTGAAAATTCACCTCCACTCCAAGAGGGAATGCTCTAGCCCGGCTATCTTAAGGCCTCATGAGGAATTGAATCGATCAGCATTCAGCGACATTTGTGACGAAAGGAGAAATTTTCAAGTATTAGCCTAACCCACACTTAAAAAGATGGGAAACCTCTTTGGATGATGGATGCAAGGAAACAAATCAAACGCAAGGAGTGCTGAGATCCACGCAGTAGATTTGAAAGACGGTCGCGTAGAATAAAATTTGTTGAAGTTTAAGTATGCACTTAGTGGACTGTTACTACGTTTTGGTGCTCCTGTTTTCTATAGTTGTTCTTCAATGTAGTAATACAAATGCACCACAAATACATGTTTTTCAAAGAGATAGCAGTTGTAGTGCCTGGTTCATCAGGTGTTGCTGGTTGTTCGCAAGAGAAGAAACGTATTTTCAACGAGATCACACAGCAGTTTTTACGCACATTTCGTCTTTCTAACGGAAAAAACAAGGAGAGTGGCGTAGATGCCCGAGTGGGTTTTTTTTTTCTTCTTTTCTTCGAATCATTTCTATGAACTGTTTCCAACACAAACCACGTTTTGCTGGTTCAGATGTGTGCAATGGATTTGTCTCGAACAAGTTGTGTGATAGCTTCGCGTTTGGTGTCTTCATCACACGAATACATGGAGGAAATGGTTCAGGAGTACATGAGGAGCGCAAGAGAGAGATTTCTAACCGCCAAACAGGTATCTCATAGGGCAACTGAAATGTGTTGAATTTACAACCTGCTACATCCAAATATTCTAAAGTGTTTCACTTAGCCAAAATGACACTTTTCAGCCATCAGATGGGCGAAAACGCATAAGCCGATCATTCAGTGCGTCATCGTTGATGATTACATGCATAAACCAGTACTGTGGCAAGGCTAGTTGCGTTATCTTGATTTTCCCTACGGAAGCACGCGCTCAGGATCTGTTACTCACACGTTCATAGTCATGCGAGTGGTATATGGCTCACATATATAAAGTTATGTATAGTCTGAAATCGTTATAGCTGTCACAATCAACGACCATATTTTACCGTAGTGAATGATGTTATTTAGAACAAAAAGCACTAGAAATAAATATTTATTAGTGGGGCACAAGCTTTTTCACTTTGCGATGATGAAATTCACAAACCACTTCATTTTATTTTTGGTTTTTGTAGTCGAGGTTTGTATTTTATGCAGCAGAGAAACTGTCAACGGGAATCACATCCAATTAGATGTGGTGTTGTCCATGAATGTGTCTGTTCGAGCAGCCGCCTCACTCGTGTTAGACTTTTTAAAAATTTGTTAACTGTTCTAATAGCCATTTAAATTTAACAGCGATTTCAACGTAAAGTTAGTGTTTCAGAAGACAAGCTTGACCTTTAGAGGGATATGGCATTTTTCCGTACATAAGCCTGTAAACTCATTAGTGCCTTAAGTATTAGTAATCATCGGGAAATTAGCAGTTGTTTATAAACCATCACGGTCGTCAAATATTAGTTGTCGTACGGTTGTATCATGACAACAGCAGGAAATTCCAAGGAATTAGGCACAACTGAGCTCATAGTACTTCTTTTAGCCGGCTTCACAAACGAACAATTTTCTATGCCACGAGTGCTTCGAGCATCAAAAGGAACAAATGGCGTCATTCAACTGCGAGAACCCGCATCTGTTGAAGTGTATTCCGACGGCCGTACTGCCAACAACGGCGAAAAGCAGCACGATGCCGTCTATAGCGACATCGTTGCGATGTGGTTCGCGCGAGGCATTGCGCTTCACTGAACAAAACGCAGTTCCACGTTCTGCTCCAGTACTAGGTATAACAAAAGAAGGAATGAGTACAATGACGAGGTGAGTTGTGCACTGCTCTGGTGTTTTTATTCTCAACTATTAATAGGGTTTTATTTTACTAAATATTAAATTGTTAACAAGCAACTACACTTTTTAAATTAGCTGTTGTCTCAATGTTTGACTTTTTAGTTACTGTCTGTTATTTTTCTATGACAGAACATTATATGAAATACAACCACAATGCTGCTGAGATATTTGTAAAATCCTGACCCAGGCCAGATCCGAACTCGCGATTTGAATCCGAAAACTAGCTGAGAGAAAGACAAGGCAGGCAAGGGTCTTGGTGGGTGGCATTGGTAATACGTGAGCTCGGAATTTAGCCTGGGGTTCGAATTTTGCAAACATTGCGGCACCTTATCGTTGTTTAGTATGTATTATAAAAATAACAAAAGTAAGTCACTTAGTGCTCTACACTGTTTTTATTGAATCACTGACCAATCAAAATATAGTGAATGGAGACCTCGATATGGATTTTGGACGCAGAAGTCTTTCTTCTGTCTTCCCATGTTTTTAGTTGTTACTGGCGTTCCTTGTTTCATTGATCCGGATGTCACGTTTTTTTCATAGTGTAATAGTTTCAGTATATCGACAATCGAGGGTGACAACGGCGTGACACACTATTTTGTTTCGGGGGAAGATCCTCCAGTGCACATATCACCGTCTCATTCTTCCTGCGCTGCTTCGCAAACACTGCCATCGCCAATCCGAATGGCAACCCTTTCTCAACTGGCTTCGTAGCCGTCTAGTGGTAGAATTTATTTAATCTGATGAGTAATATTCGTATTTACGACTATCGCTTTTTCGGTTTAATGCCTGCAAATTAAATCCTCTTCGAATTATCTTGAACTGCAGTGTAGTTGCTTGTTACAAGTGTTGGTCGTAAGTACAGACGAAGTAGAAGGTAACACATCTCCCAATTCTATGACATATTCGGATTCTGTGTCATCATCAGACGCAAAATCATCTACTTAATCTGCGCTTCTTCTATCTGTGATTTCTATCGCTTCCTGCCAGATTTTCTGCAGAGTAATAGCTATACGTGTTTTAGAGATTATAAATATTTGTTATTTTTTATGTAAGAATTTTGAGAATGTTAAGTTGTTTGGTCAGCTGTGCACGTTCTCATTTTCGCTGCAAATAAACCTGTTTTTAAATGGTCTCTTTGTCACACAATTACGTCATTAGTGCCTCTTTCACGTTGTTTCTTCTAAAATACTGATTTAAATTTTTTATCACTTTTAGATTTCTTAACGGAACTTGTGTAAAACTACCTGAAAGTGAGCGCAAAAGACGGAAGAGAGTAAACAACCGTGATAGTGATTATGAATATGGATGAATGAATAGTGATTATGTGCCATGCATTCGTCTTCACCCGGTACCTGGCATATACAATAAATCGCGGTGGCCAACCGATGTGTCGAGCTAGTGCTACTATCTTCCCAAACAAGTCTGGCACCAATTTGTCGACCCCGGAGGAATGGAAGATATGGTGGGCCATAGGTGCTGGATCAATTCCACATCTGTGTTGCAGGGAGCCTCCGACCACTGCGCCACACGCGCAACTTGCTCACGCATAGCCTATACTTTCGAACGATGTCTTTCTGATCTAAGAGGTACCGCTTCGAAAGGGAAACGCTGATACGGCGATTATAGAATGAGAAGGGGTGGGTGGAACATTAAAGAGATTAGCAAGAGTATGACAGCATTCATCTACATGACGTACAGATGTGGCTGCATCAGTTAGCTGTTTACATAACTGTAGATTCTTTCTATTTGCATATCAGAGGCGCCCTGCAACACAGATATCAGAGGATAATACTTCCAGGTCACCCTACACAAGCTATTACCATGAATAGCGATCTCAAGCGAAAGTAAGGGAAAACTCCGCTTCTACTATCCAAGTACAGTGTCCGAGTGTTCGACCGAATATAAGAAATGCGTCAACAGTATTTACTGTTCTAGTTACGCTCATGGAAAATGGACAAGGAACTAGATCGAAGGTGTTTCTACTTCTCTAGAATTTTCAAATAATGGATGGAATGAAGTTATTGTTGAACGACTTATACTTTTGACCCATCTCATGCTCATTTTGGTCAAATAATCGGATATTTGGTCTGAACATGGGGCGTTTACAACCCATTTACATTGCGATTGTTGTCCATGGTATTATGCTGTCTAAGATGACATGTAACTACCATTCTATAATCTGTAAATATAAAATATTTACAGGTCTGCAGACAGCTGAATGACGTCAGTTGCATTCGTAGTTTTCTAGATGGATGCTCTCATCCTTTTGGCATTCGCCTGGCTATGTTGTTGTTTTTGCCTAACCGATGTCGTTGTTGTTCCAAAATTCTACACGGGATCAGACCATCGTCTCCTACGTGCAAGATTCTATTTCTCGCGGAAAGGAGACTACTGTACTTATAGAACCATCGTGAACCAATTCCCAAAAATTTATTCCATGTTTCGCCTTTTTCAATCATTTTAAAAATATTTTAAGCAGAAATGCTTTCTCCATTGGCTTTATTTATCGTTGATCGTCGTGGTAGCTGTTGTAGCAAGAGTTTAGATTCTTACATTAGTTTTGAAGCCGCTAAATTCTAAAACCGAAGTCCCAGAACCACGGTAAACTGGGACTTATTCAATTCATTAGTCGGCTTCTGGAAAGATGCCGTTGTCGATAACATCGACGAAGAATACGATCGGCTCATTCAACATCGAGTTAACGCTATGAAAGCTGAGAGTTCGAAAGTCATCAAGAGAGTCTGTCCCCAGAAACACACGAGCTGATACGCCAGTGTGGAATCTCACTAGCTGCAGGCAACCGCGAACTAACGTTCGAACTTGCAAAACAATGCAGACAGCCGATAAAAAGAAGATCTTAGAGAGAGAGAGAAGAGCAGCAGTAATGCCCAAAGCTGCAGAGAATGGGAAAAACATTTGCAAAGCCCACCGACGCTTCACCAATTACAAGACCAAGATGATTGCCCTCCGACGCCCAAACGGAACTGTTATGGCGTCCAGAGAGGCAGTGGAGGAAATCATTCACGAATACTACTCGGATCTCTTCGATAGCCACGTCCACCTTCCGTCATATGAAATAAAGGAGGATGGATATGTTGTACCACCGGTTCCCTCTTCCGAAATCCGACATGCCATTTCGTCGATGAAAAATCGAACAGCACCAGGTCCGGACAGGATAAGACCAGAACACCTGACAAACCTTCCACCAGTCCTCGTAAACACACTGACTCGACTCTTCACACGTTACCTGTCTGAATGCAATCTCTACTCAGTGGAAGACCAGCAAGACCGCGTTATTGTTCAAGAAGAGTGACATACACGATATTGGCCCACTCTGCTTACTGTCTGTCGTCTACAAACTTTTCACTCGAGTCATCCTAAACAGGACTGATAGAACACTGGACGAAGGGTAGACATGTGAGCAAGCAGGGTTTCGAAAAGGATTTAGTGCGATGGACCACATCCACACGGTAACATGGCTCACTGAAGTATCGCGAGAGTACAAAAGAGCGCTCTGTCTCACTTTCATCGATTTACAGAAGGCCTTTGTTTCAACTGAGATAGAAGCAGTCTTGGAAGCCCTTGATAGTCAAGGAGTCCCTACTCAGTACATATTCTTCGTGAGCTGTACAAAAATTTCACAACCAAGATATCACCATTGTACAACGATATTAACATTGACGTCAAAAGAGGAATTAGGCAAGGCGATACCATCTCGCCAAAATTATGTACCGCCACCTTCCAGAACGTCATGCGAACATTGGAATGGGATAATATGGGAGCGAAAATCGACGGTCGGCAGTTACAGTTACACCAACTTCGCTTTGCTGATGACATCGCCTTGAAACACCAAACATTAGCCAAGCGGAACGTATGCTTGACGACTTTGATAAAGCCTGTGGAAAGATTGGTCTTCGACTAAATCTCACAAAAAAGATGTTCATGTAGAACAGATTGGTTTCGCATGCCCATTCACGCTCAACGGAACGAATATCTCCGAATGCTCCAGTTATGTCTACCGTATCTAGGTCGTGAAATCAATATGATGAACGACTTAGCTCCAGAGCTGAGCAGAAGGAAACGAGCGGCTTGGGGAGCTTTCATGAGCATCGGGATATAATGAAGAGAACAGAGAACATCCGACCCTGTGCCCACCTTTTCGACTCAACGGTACTTCTTGCCCTAACGTATGCCTCAGAAACCTGGTCGCTGCGTAACCTGGATGAAAAGCCACTCAGCGTTATCGAACGCGCAGTCAAAAGGACGATGCTAAGAGTGACCTGTTCCACACAAGTAAGAGATGGGATCCGAAGCTCCGATCTGCGTCAATGATCAAAAATCAAAGATGCCGTTCTGTACGCCAAACAGTCGAAGATAAGGTGGGCCGGATACGTAGTGCGTATGAATGACAACCGATGGACAAGAGCTGTTAGTGACTGGATTCCTCGGGATGTCAAAGGTACTGCAGGAAGACCACCGTCCCCATGGTCAGAGTTCTTCACGAAGAGCCTAGAAGAAAGATATGATGCTCGACGAGTCCCTAGAGCGAGCACAACCTACTGGGCTACTCTTGTACGCGGCAGGGAAAAATGGAAGATTTACTGGAGCCCGTTCCAGTCACTCGGCGATCAACGGGACTACAGGTGATACAGGTGAAGGTGACGTTGTAATTGTTGTATTAATACAACCTACATAAAGGTTTAATCACGAGAGTTTGAGGTCTGGTATCGCTGAGCCACAAGTATAAGGACCTCTAGGCACAACAGCACATTTCACTCACACCATTCTGTCCCTTCATTAAAATGTTTGCTCCTGTAGTTATCGGGGAATGCTTGTCGATTCATTGGGATGCAAAATACTGTAGTTATCGAGGAACTAATCCCTGGTAAGTCAACAATTCTGCTGTGCAGTATCAAGAAACCCATGATCTGACGTTTTCATTTCGTTCCTTCAGGGAGCTGCCTGTCTCTATGGATCGTAAGATTTATTAACTTGCGATTACGTTCATTGCAGGACATCGGTGAATCATGGGATTCGCTTATTCTTTGCAAGGTGTCCTGATAGAAATACTGAACACCTTTTCATCATAGGTCATCATGCTGAGTAAACGTAACTGGCAATCCGACACCCACGAACATCGCTAAGCCATCACGAAGCGGTAAACCGTTAGGATGTGTCAACAATTATGTACGATTCAGGTGTCCTAAATGAAACTAATATGAAATCGGTGGCTGCGACCTGTTTCCAACTTTGGAGATCTTTGTACAAGTATGAAATCTTCGGCAATAGAATCACGAAGAGCTTTGTCCACGTGTGACACCACAAGTCCATACCATACAAGGGAAGTGAGCACTATCAACTTTTGACATTGGAACCGTTAGCTTACTAGTACGTTTACCTTATTACTTACCGTTAGCTTACTTTACCTCCCAATGGTCCATCGCCTCATCATGGCTGGCAGTTGTTCCTGGGTGTCGGACTGCGATGTACAGCGGAGGGGTTCATCTTCCTGGAGGGTCTTTCTAAGCCGAGGAGTCCGGTGTTTCCATCGGCAAGCCCAACTAAGAGTAAAACTACCAGAATTCACCAACGTCCTAGTACCAAAATCGCATGGTGGCCAATCCCGGCCTGATCCACAAAGGTCGCGACCGCCCGGGGACTTGATGACCTAAGACAGACTTTGGCTCGGTTGATCTCGGGGCTCCGGGAAACCATAATGGCTAAACCGGCAAAACTCCGAAAAGTGGAAATTATTATGAGGCACGCACAACTAGTGAGGACGGCCATTTAAGTACCCAAGTATCCAAGTAAACTTACAATTGTCTGCGGCAATAGCCACCAACCATACTGGTCCAGAACGGTGGAACTTGGTATTACTATGACGACGAAGAAACACATTGAGAATGGAATGAACAATATTTATCCAGAACAAAACAATATGGTTTGTTTCAGTCCTCTCAGTTTTAAAGACTTGTTTCTAAACATGTCAGTCCGTAACTCTTTGTCTATGACGTATCCTGATCTAAGAAGTATTCATACTACATGAAAAAAACAGAATCGGGAGAATGCCAACCGATGATGATTTATCCAAACCTGGACAGAGTTCTACAATAAACTGAAAGGAATCACTAGGGAATAGTCGGAAAATGCAACGTAAACTATAGAAACTCTATCCAAGCACGAAATTGTCTGAACTTCTGTGCGGAATGTTAGGAAGAGAAAGGAATGGATAGATATAGGCGAGAAATAAATGGAAACAGAAGACACAAAGCCCACGGGTAACGGATGGAGTAGGTACACAGGAAGTGGACTAGAAATGCAGTGCCCTCCTCTAATAAGTTTAGATTTTGATTGAGCTGGACCCAAATAATCATATTCTATAACTACGTCGAAATAACCAAGCATATCTGGACAGGACGAGTGCCAGAAACAAATCAGCGTGGAATGGATGTGTAGCCCGCAATATGTTTAAAATTAGGCATGAGTGGACTAGCAATAGTATCACATCCAAAGTTTATAAGCAACAAGACATGCCGTACACGAAACACATATATCGCGAACTTTTCTCTTTCAGGTAGAAATGTTACGACATACGCTGTAGAAGCAAAGAAAAGAGGGAAAAAGTAATATGATATTTTCATAGTAAAGTATGGAATACAGGATTGCTATCAACGTCATCTAATGAACGACACATTCCTGAGAACAATGAGGAATAGAACAGTTAGATGACAGTTCTCTAATTAAATACTGACGACTAAATGACGAGGCTAAATGCGAACCGCGTCATCTGAATCGGTCTCGTAGCTCGTTTCATCCACAATAGACATGGCTGCTTGCGGATTCTGAAATAAGTCTATTTCGTGAAAATAAGGCAAACAGAAAGACAAGTCCAAAGCAACACCTTCCTCAGGTAATACTAATTGTTTATGTGAAAAGCGAGAATGCGTAGTACGAAAGTATGGACTTCACTAAAATCAGCAAGAATATGGTAGGATACAGCGGAATGACAACAATCGAACAGCAAAAATAACAAGGGTCGGACTTCGACATAATGTTGAGTCCAAGCGCCTGTTTCAAAAAGTTCAAAATTTGAGTATTAAACAAATGTAGAACGAAAACAACATTTTACAGAAATAATGCATACTCTTGGCACAATAAAGGAGCAATTTTTACAAAATAAAAAAGCTCTCGGCAAAGAGTTGATCTTTCTTGAGGGATGAGAATGAGATTAATCCTTAAAGGATGTATTTGCCATGCGTTCGGCTTCACTAAGCATTGTTAGAGGTGATTAAATGCATATTTGGCCCCTACAATGAATTGCGATGGTTTATTGATGTAGCGAGTCAGTGCTGCTACCCACCCTGATTGGTCTGGTACCAATTTGCCGACCTCGAAGGGATGAAAAGTTTGGTGGGCTTGAAGCGCAGGATCGAACCCATGTGTATTGTAAGGCACTTCTAACCACTCTGTTACACGTGCTCTTATATTTTTCATAAATTTGCCGAATGTTCTACATTTCAATAATTCAAGCAATCGAAAAAAATGGTAAAATATGGGAAAGTTAGCAGCAACATGGGTGGGTGGTTCCAAGTTGCCTGCGCCTCAACATTCAATCCGTTAAGACGTTGCTCAAGGATGCTCTTGATAGGCTGGTTTTGTGAAGTTTTCATCGCGCATTCTAAAACGGTAGCTTATGACTCTACACAATTGAACTCACCGACTGCGTTCGTCGATGTCCTCTGATAGTGTTCTTGACAGCTTGTACTCGTCGTTCCTTATCGCTGAGGCCGTCGGAATGCATAGCGCCCTGTTCAAGCGATCGCTCCAACGACGATGCCATTGTCGACGACGACGTCAACATTAAGAGCTCACGTCTTCTAGAAATTTCTTCCAACAATAAGAGCAGTAAAAATGAGGTATCACTACTTGCCGTTTATCTAAACCGACGATCATAAAATTTCTAGTCGATTTTCTAGGGAATTTGGTTAGCAAACACTATCCTCTCTGATAAATTAGAACATTTGACCACACCTCATATTCAATTACAATTTTGTTTCAAACTAGTTTGCTAGTTATGGCCACATTCAATAAAGAAAATCTGTACTGAAATGTTTCGGCATTAGGAAGTGTCCAATTGTCTCCAATACTACAGTATACCAAGCCATTTCCAGTATGGAAGCTAAAAACCACACCGTTTCTCAGCGTTGTCCTCCTCACTACTGGTTTTCGTCAAGGCGCTGGAAGCTTTCTGCGAGTCCAAAGAGGAGTCAAGAGTATTTCTGTAATTATGAAACCTGAGTTTTAACTAATACAACAGCCAGAGTAGTGCCAGAATGAATTGGTGCTCACCCATTTTCCTCATCTTTTTCATCATCAGCGCTATCTTCAGACGACGCGTCGTCCGACTGAGTTCGTCGATCAGATGTCAGATTGTTTAAGTCAAGAGCAGAGGAGACGACAACAGTCTTTAAGGACTGTCCGGAAGATTTTCTGACAGAGAGACTTTGAACGCTCACATGATCCGACGACAACAATTGAAGATGTCAGAAGAAACGTACGCACGATTACTACTCCTAATGGAAAAGTAATGAAAGACGGGGACAAACTATATTTCTACGATGCGACTTTTCCAAAGTATCAGATAAGTCACAACTTTACCAAAAAGTAACTGCCACGACCGACTTTCTATTAACCTCGGCATTGATCAAGTAATTTTCTTCGTATTTTTGTTGAGCAAACGCGAGGTGTTATTATTCTTTGTTCATGACTAACCTGACGTTTCGGCGGATTTCGCCTTCCTCAGAGCCGCTTCATTTGAGGTTTCCACTAAGTATGTCACGTAGAGACCAACCGCACAGAAATCACATGGACGTATAATGTAGTACATTATATAGTATAATGTAGTACGTTATATAGTACATTATGCAATAATGTAGTACATTATATAGTATAATAGTACATTATACTTCCATGTGATTTCTGTGCGGTTGGTCTCTACGTGACATACTTAGTGGAAACCTCATAGGAAGCGGCTCTGAGGAAGGCGAAATCCGCAGAAACGTCAGCTTAATCGTGAACAAAAAATAATAACACCTCGCATTTGCTCAACAAAAATACGAAGAAAATTTACCAAAAAGTCTTCGTCAAATAACAAATATGCTTTCAATAGTAAAACTACGTAAAATCAATGTGCTGTTTGGAAAAGAGCAAGAGATATTTTTCCTCGGAAAGCAAGAATGATTCTAAAAACATCTTTTATGAGTGGTACAGCTACTACTTATTTACTCTGACAACAGTCAATGTTAAAGTTGCGCGGCTTAGGGCATTCTTTAGAAGTAAGCTTAATCCTCACATAACAACACGAGAAGCAGAATTCTCAACGTCATTTGTTAGGCGATTTTCGGACACAGTTGAAACCATTTCAGAGGTATTCCCAGCTGTATCAATTGTTTCTTGGTAAGAAGGAGATACCGGAAGGTTTGAAACACTCAGCTCAGTTAAATTGTTATACGGAGTTAGCGAACGGTGATGATGTTTTTGGACCGACGAGCCATTTCTGGAAAACATGTTTGTATTATCTGATTTAAAAATGATTCAAAACGTTAGAAGCCCTAATCAAACTAAACCGAACGTTTCACGAAATGCAACTGATTATTCAGCAAGAAATGTCGCGACAAATGTGAAGACCTATGTTCAATCAACTTTGGTCCTGAAGGAGGAAGAAGGACAAAATTGCTTTTTACTCAACGGCTGTCGCCTTTGTCAACAAAGCACTAAACAATCTTGTTATTTGTCGTGATTGAAACTTGTGTTTTCAGTCCGTCGCTGGGCTTCCGTCGGGCTCCTTTTCACCTTGGCAGTTCCTGCCGGGTGGATGAATCCCCGCTGTACATCGCAGTCCGCCACCCAGAAACACCTAGCCACGATGAGGTGGTAAGCCGACGGGGTGGAAGAAGAGGAGGTGGAAGAGTAGGAAGAGGGGGTGGATGAACTTAAAGTAATCGTATCTAACCTCTTAATGACATGAGCTAAATTTAAGAATAGTGCATATTGAGAAATCATGAACTCCGCTTACCGTTTACGCCGGCAATAATTCTCGTTCTTGCAATCACAACAGCATTCTGCGTCCACCTGCATCTGTGATAGGTAGTGCATTTGAGACGGATATGAAGCTCGATGTTGTTTGCTGCGATCTGAACGGTTGTAAAATACGAACAGCTTTTTATTATTGCCTTTATGCTGATGGAGATTGAACGGAAATAGATGATAATGAAAAAATCGCCTGAAAATGCATTCAAGGCAATCAGTTGTCGCTGCTTTTGATGTTATTGATCGATGGCTGACATTTCGGCGACTTCGCCTTCCTCAGAGCCTGGACGTACTTTATGTTAGAATACTTTTTACTATTCGGTGGAAAAGAAGGTTAAAGTATTAATGAAGATCAAACTTTCAAATAGACGCCATATTGAACGGAAAGGCCACTCACCGTGATGTTACGTGCGGGACTGGCCCATACGTAGTTCACGAGGAGTCGCGAGCAAGACACGCCCCGGGGTCAATATATCATTTTGAAATAAGGCACCAGGTCACTCGTGATAGTGAGGCATTCGTCCTTCCGGTTCATCTTTGGATTTTTGAAATTTATCCAAAACGCCTCGAGAGTTTTGCGGGTTGACGTTTTTGATTCCTGCGCTAGGATCCGCACATTCACTTCAAAATCATCGCCGTTGTGCTTTTGTGTCCTATGCGTACCTAGAGGGGTGTTTAAACGGATCTTAGCTTTTCCATCTCGATGTTCTTTTATGCGGACACAAAGTGGTCTACTCGTTTCCCCGATATATTCCTTGCCGCATGCATTACATGAGATATTATACCTAAACTCATGCAATCCCCGTCTCTCCCGTTAGGACAGACCATACAGTTTTCCGAGCTGCACAAACGATCATAGAGACGGTTTCGAACTAACTGGCGGCGTAGGGTATTGGGTGGGATGTCAATAATCGTTACATAATTTTGAAGACCACTTTTTCTTAAGCACTTTTTAATGGCGTGACTTACTTCATTTGATATGAAGCGCAACTTAAAGAGGATCCTACTTTCGTCTGAAATATTATTTTGGGAAACTACCCAACGGTTTCCTCTAAATCGAGTGGCTTCTACTTCGTAGCCATTGGAAATGGCAATTTTTCGTGCCAGGTTTCGCGATTCCTTCCTTTCCTCTTCTCCTGTACACACATTTTTAGCCGTACGATACATATTTTTGTTAAGTGCTTTTTTCATGTGTGAAGGATGAGAGGAGAGGCAGTGAACTAGAATGTTTTTACTACTTGGCTTGCGATACCATTACGTCAACGAACCCACCATCATATAAAGTTAGACCTATCATCAGTTGTATAGGCGGACTAACGGATAGAATAACGCGGTTCCTAAACCTTATCCTAACCCAGCTGCTAAAATTCATCCCAACCCATCTACCTAACACCAAAATATTTCTAGATCACCTAAGGCGCGCGCAACCAAACAGCACGCATATAATGGAGTCATTCGATGTTAGTTCACTTTATACCAACGTGTCCAATGACTCCGCAATGCAAGCCATTCTCGAGTTGCTCGTAGAGCACGAAAAGAAAACAAAAATGCACGGCTTTTCGATTGCGCAACTAATGACCCTCTTAAAACAGTGTCTTAGTTGTTCAATCATTAGGTGGTCTGGAAAATATTTTGCACAAAGAGGGTTGGCGATGGGGTGGCGTTTAGCACCAAGCCTTGGCATCGCTTTCATGTCTAAGGTGGAAGCTCCAGTTCTCGATCACCGACCCTTACTCTATTGTCGATACATAGACGACTGTTTCATCGTCTGTTCCACACAAGAACAGATGGATGAGTGCTTTGAATTATTAAACCGACAGTCAGAGTATATAAAATTTACACGAGGAAAACCTACCGAGAACTGGCTTCCATTCTTAAACATCCAAATAAAGCTCTCAGTAAGTGGCTATTTAACAAAATGGTATCGCAAGCCAAGTAGTAACAACATTCTAGTTCACTGCCTCTCCTCTCATCCTTCACACATGAAAAAAGCACTTGTCAAAAACATGTACATGTACATAATATTTCAGACGAAAGTAGGATCCCCTTTAAGCTGCCCTTCATATCAAATGAAGTGACGCCATTAAAAAGTGCTTAAGAAAAAGTGGCCTTCAAAATTATGTAACGATTATTGACATCCCACCCAGTACCCTACGCCGCCAGTTAGTTCGAAACCGTCTCTATGATCGTTTGTGCAGCTCAGAAAACTGTATGATCTGTCCTAACGGGAGAGACAGGGATTGCATGAGTTTAGGTATAATATCTCATGTAATGCATGCGGCGAGGAATATATCGGGGAAACGAGTAGACCACTTTGTGTCCGCATAAAAGAAAATCGAGATGGAAAAGCTAAAATCCGTTTAAACACCCCTCTAGGTACGCATAGGACACAAAAGCACAACGGCGATGATTTTGAAGTGAATGTGCGGATCCTAGCGCAGGAATCAAAAACGTCAACGCGCAAAACTCTTGAGGCGTTTTGGACAAAATCCAAAGATGAACCGGAAGGACGAATGCCTCACTATCACGAGTGACCTGGTGCCCTATTTCAAAATGATATTTTAACCCCGGGGCGTGTCTTACTCGCGACTCCTCGTGAACTACGTGTGGGCCAGTCCCGCACGTAACATCACGGTGATTGGCCTTTCTGTTCAATATGGCGTCTATTTGAAAGTTTGACCTTCATTTTAACCTTCTCTTCCACTGAATAATAAAAAGCATTCTAACATAAAGTACGTCCAGGCTTTGAGGAAGGCGAAGTCGCCGAAACGTCAGCCATCGATCAATAACACATCAAAAACAACGACAACGACAACGAAGATCTGTACCAACCTGGCGTCAGCTTAAGAAAATCAGTTTATAAGATCACATAAATAAATATATCAACTATCTATGCCGAGGTTTATAGAAAGTCGGTCTTTCGAGTTATTAAGAAATTCGAGCATGTTTGAAAAGGTGGAAACGAATTTATCTTCGAAAAACTAAATACTTTCATAACATGTAACTTATTCCATTCCCCACTAGTTACTGACTCTAAAGTATTAAAAATATCATTCAAAGGAGTTGACTTTTCTTTCCTGTAGATGTGACCTTTTCGTTAGTAGTAGGGCTATCTAATTTCTGCATAACATCCACACTCAATACCGCTTCGGTCACCAGTGTAATAACAGAAATACCAGCAAAACAAAGCAAAATATCTATAACAGACGTTACACTCAAGAATGGTGAACGATGACCCTCACTGGACATTCCAATCAATTATATCCACATATATTTCGTTTCGTTTAAGGAAATATCAGTGGAAAATTCGGTAAATCAAAATTTCTATTTACAATGAGTAAATGGAAAGGAACTTTGTTTATCTACTTCTATAAAACTCGAAACCTTCACTCACTTTGTGGTACTCGAGCTGGGCTGTCACGTTGGAAAGTTGACGAACGTTTTGTTCTTCGCCATTGGACCACACGATTCTCCGACCATCGACCGTCTACGGTGCGCAACAACGTCTACGAGTACATGAAGTCAGTTTCTCCAGAACCCCTATGCCTAATCCCAAATCCCAACCAGAACTATTTCCCTGCACTAAAGCGATCCTCGAGTTCGAGTTCTTTTACTAAAGAACGCCTGTCCATAGCAATATAATGGAAGTTATCTAATTGTAAAATACCCGCTGTCCAGTTGGCAACGGTGCAGGCTCATTCCATATTTGTACACCGCTGTCCTCAGACATACCGCTGGTTCGTGCTGGTGAATTTCGTACCAAACCAGCACAGTACTGTGACGAGAACGAGTGCCGCATGCAAGGACTGCGCGAGAACGCTAGAAAAAAGAACTATAGAACTCAAACACTACAGTGTACCCCATCGTCTACATCAGAGTGAAACGCTACTACTTTCACAAATCTATGATAAAGCCAAACTTAAATATCGTCGCAGAATTATGGAGGAAACTTAACAATCTAGGAAATCTTTAGAAAAACATTATTGATTTGGATAAATAGCGATAACAATATTAATGATGATAATGAAGCATCCAACGTTAGGTCTCCTTCAGAGTTTGATAAATTCAAGCTCTTACATTTTGAGAAACAATCTTCTCAACGACAATCTTAACAGTTTACGGTATCTCAATGAGGAAACCGTAGTCCCTCCTCTTGGTTGCAGATATCTTCCTTTATTGAGCTACACAACGTTAGTGTAAAAAAGATTTACAACGAATAATCCGGATATTCAATTTCTTCAGCAGATTAGCCTGAAGTGAGAAGTTTCACATTTTAAAAACAAGCCTAGGTTTGTTTATAATTTAACTGCAAACAACTGCCAAATGCTACAGTTTTGGAACACTCTCAGTGGAAAAGCGGAAAACCCTCCTCTCATTGGTAAGTGCTGGCGGTGACCAACTGAGAACATTACATCAGTTGTTTCGGGAAGGCAAGAATACCCTTGCTAAACTAGCATAATACCACTCAATTAAAACTCTACTAGGATCCACAAAATTTCGTGAAGACGGGTTACCTGGGAAACGGTGAGGTTAGGTGGGTGAACCCTGGATAGGTTATTAGAAAAAGGGACCTCGTACTTGCCCTGATACACAGGTGGAATCAGTATCTAGGAATTTTTTCCCCGTATCTAGGAAGACTGTGTGTTCGGATGAAGCTAAAAGAAACTACTTGCTTCTCATTCTTGATTTACGCCAAGCGAAAAGAATAGCTATGAGTGTATGTGTACCTGGATCGGGAAGTGATCGCGATGAAGAACAATCAGTCAAGTTCTAGAACTCAGCAAAAGATAAGGGCATATTGAAAAAATTACAACAGCATTGAAAATGTAGTGAAACAGATGGGGGTTACCTCGATGCACGCATACCTTTTCACTGCTCGATTAATTCTGCGTCGACGTACGATCAATGACCTGGACTTTATTTAAGCAAAATAAAACAGTAGTTAGCAACAATTGACGCGTTGTCGAGAGGGAGATGCTAGGAATACACCGGATCACGACGATGTTGCACCTAATAGGATGTCCAGAAATAGATAAACTGGGCACGTAGCGTATCTTAAGGAGAATTGGTGGACACAAGGGTTAACTAATAAACAGCATGAAGACCATAGACCATAAGGTTGGACTTTCGCATGACAATCCTCGAAGGAAGAAAGATACCCTTAGTCCACCGCGAGCGATAAAAACTAACAAAAACATAGAACGTTCTGAAATTTCTGAAATTAAACAGGTAAGAATGGGAACTTTGCTGGGGTTCGTTGGGTTATTTCATAGTCAGTGGGAACACAAGTGATACCTGGGATAGGTACATGTCCGAGATTATTGAGCGGAACTATAAAAAATCTTCACATTAGAAAGTGAGTCACGAGCAGTTCCTTGCAAATAAATCCAAGTATTACACATACATGTTCCAACAGTAAGTAACCTAACTGTACACACTTATACTGGAACCTTCGATAAGTAGGTCTTCAGAATACTACATTTTTCGTTAGGGACGCGTGTGGTACATTAGTCGGAGGAGCCCTGCAACACACACGTGGAATCGAACCCCGCACCCATGGCCCAACAAGCCCTCCATCCCTCCGGGGTCGGTAAATTGGTATCAGATTTGTCAGGGAGGATCGCAGCACTGGCTCGATACATCGGTAAGCCACCGCTAGTCATTGTAAGGGCCAGATATGTATTCAATCACCTCCGAACGATGCTTAATGAAGTCGGATGTATGGAGCATCCTTCTGGGATTGATCAACGCCGAGAGCTTTATCCTTTATCTTTTTACACCTTTTGTTTAGTGAATGTGTAACACTTTGCGAACTATGGAATTTCAACTTGTTAGGGAAAAATTACTGGAAAGATAGAATAACTGTCGTATTTTAAATAAGAAAACATTGGATTGCATAGAACTCTGATGTTTCTTGAACATTCTTTCAAATTTTACAAAAAAATCTATACTCACAAGGATTATGTCCACAAATAGGTGGCTCACGTACTGTGCTGTCGTAACGTCGTGGCAATCCTAGAGAACTTCGTGAGGAGGACTGACGTGAAAACGTTGCTGAGTTAGACGACGGAAAACCGGAAGAACTGAAACAAATTATGAAAGTACCTGTCAGAAACCTTAATATTAGTGTTACATAATACTGTACAGTACATGAGCTGGTTACATTTCTTACTACAACGGTGCCAGCAGAATACAAAATGTTTTGATACGTCCTTAGTTTGCATCACCTGCTTGCTTGACTGCATCGGTAGGAAGAGCTGCGGTGATAGTCGGCTAAGTATTCGTCGCTCGATGACCCTTCCATACCATACGAATGTAAATCGACCGCCATGCAATAAATACTAAACGAGGACATTATAAGGCTTCAAATTCAACACAGAGTTTGTAGCCTGTTAGCTACACTATTGAAGATTCATTGAAGAAGTTGCTAACTTACTCCTGCTCCGACCCTCTGATAGTTTTTGGACCTGCACGTACCACAGTGGGTCGCATAGTTACAGTTGGATGGAAAGAGGCGTAGCGATGAGTTTCGTCCCATAACCGGATACGCTGCTCCAACTCCTAGGAAAGTTTTATGCTCTGTGAAGAAATACCTATGAATGAAATTTAAAGAGATTACCTTTACGTATACCCATTCAATTAATAGCTAATTTCAATGGCCTTACCTTTTCCTTCAATAATAACTCATTCATGCAGTTAGTGAGTTTTGAGTACATTTTATTGGTGCGTCTCAGTTTGTTCTCGTACATTTCCCGGATATCCTGGGCATGTTTCAACTCCTGGCGACGTTTTCGGATCAGCTCCTTTTCTGAAATGAAAACCTGTAAAAGAACGTAGAAGATGAGAGCAGGACTATGAAAGCAGGATCTTCAATCTATTCTAAAAACGAGATAATAGATAATACCAATGTTATTAAAAATTAGACTCAAAAAAAGCGTAATAGAAAACAAAACCCAATTAAATCCAGAGTTTTCCCGAGGCATAGTACAGGTCTAAAAATATAAAGGAATTTATGATATCTGAGATAAAAAGTTTCACAGTTACAGGGTAATGGCGAGTGCCCAAATAAGGACAAGGTCTCATTGATTCTTGCCTTCATCCATGCTATTTATTACTCAAAACAACTGTCAATGACTTGGTTTAAAATCTAAAAAATAGAATACAAAATTCGTTCATCTATCCCTTCGTCCACTTTTAACTCACCATTTCACATATAAAACCTAAGATTTTTCAACTTAATGTTCACTAGATCTCCAACCGTCTTCTCTCTCCGCAAAGTTTTGTGCGTTACCCTTTGTGATAGTCTCCGGATATTCGATGTTGGCTGCGTCTGCGCGCCATTTGGCACTACGGCGGAAAAATTCCTGAAATTTCGGGATGTCCCAGGCACGTTTTAGGAGAAGTATAGAAAAAAGAAGGAAGAAAAAATAAGGAATGATAGAACAACAGTGATGTTGAGATATAAGTGAAACTCAGAACCTCAGGTGGACTACGAAACCACGATTACCCTTTCCGAGGTTACTCTTTTTATGAATGGATGGGCTACTAAAATAAAGAATTTCTACGCTGCTAAATCTAAGACAACGATATAGGTCTGCACTTACGACGTAAGTACAGTAGCGTCTAAGCTTTCCACTGAAGACCTGGTGATCCAGGATATGGAAATCAGGCATGGAAACACCGAACTGGTGCCAACGAGAATATATCATCCATCAAATGCGTTTAAGATATCGAAGAAGAACAACTACTTGAAATATATTACAACAGAGGAAACGGTATCCCCTCAACGGACCGCTGATGAACATCTATTACATTGCGCATCCAAAGGCATGAAGGAAAGGATTGTTGTTGAAAAGATACTAACCTAAGTCGGCTTTGATAATTTGTAAGGTCTACGTATCTTTCCACTTTAATATAATACTAAAACACATAAAGGTGGAAACCTACAAAAGATCGAGTTCTAAAATGTTTAACTTTTATTTAACAATTGTCCTTTTTTCATGGCATGGTACGATGTGAAGCACAACCACTTGAAGTACAAGCACTTCACATCATATCCTGTCATAGGAATAGTCAGTATATAAGTGTGAACACTGCGATTTCGACTGGAACCTCCATTTAACTGGATCCAATGTCGATTTGTGCTTTCCAAATCATTCCTATCGACGTATGATTGCCGCTTGCACCAATAGGGCAAAAAAAAAACACAGGCCGAAAGGAAGGAAAAGCAAGAGTCCTGTTAGTGTGGTAGATAGACCCACGTCAGCCCCCGGAAAGGGTAATCACGGAATCGGCTTTTATACAGATTTGAAAAGTTCTTTATACAGTGTACCTTCTGTAGAGCACCATCAATGACTTCGCCTCCAATACTTTCTTCTTGAGAAAATATGAAGTCGGGACTCTCGGAGTAGAAAGGAACAAACTACGAGATATCACCTACGTTTTTCACAACGAGCAAGACTTTTTATAGCAGTTCGAAACCCCAAAGTGCACCTCCAACACCCCCTTTTAAATGCAGTCTCTCAGAATACAAGGTATCTAGATCAGTGGAAAACCAAGAGGAGTATGTTGTCGTTCAAAACATACGAATCGATATTCATTATTCCAAACTCATTCATGATATGCCTTACCACCACAGATGTAGAAAGTGGTCTCCGGAAGGGTTATATCATTTGGTCAGAATTATTAAGTTCGCCTCTGACGCTGTCATGCGAAAGTTAAAATAAGAAGGCGGTACGAACTGATGGCCGATAATTACACTATCTTCGCCTCGGCATAGAAAATGGAAAAAGAACCTTAAAAATGGAACAAGTGGCCTAAAGTCTCCATGCGGCAATGGTCACGGAATTTCAATCATAAATCAGAAAAAAAAAGACTCCAAACAAGAAACAAGGTTTTATTTGACCAAACAAAATTCATGAGCTAAGAAATAATCAAAGATTTGTGTAATTAATGTGCTCAAACATACTTCACTGCCCATTTCCTTCAACTCAGCGTAGAGAATGTCCATGTATTTGAGACACTGGGTGAACGAGGGCCGATTTCGCGGTGTGGTACTCCAGCACTGCCGCATTAGCATTTTCAGACCGTCTGGAGTCGAATCGGGAATCGGCAGCGATAAATTGCTTTAAATTAAATTTTACAATTCATTTTCGTTTTAAATAATCAACAACTACAAATCGTACGGATCTAAGCATTTCAACCATACGATTCGTTTCCTTTCATCTATTACTCACAAAGGTTCGGATTTGCATATGGATTCGGTGAATTCCCACTGGAATTTTGGGATAACCATGCTGGGACGTTCCAAAATTCTATGGAGCATAGGAAATTTCTTAAAGAAGATTTGTAGAATTCTTTGACCCAGGTGAAAGAAAGAAACGGCTTGGTTAGTCCAGGACGTGGCCGGAGCAATGCCTTGCGCCTACTAAACAGCAGCTACTAAAACAGCGCTAACCGCACCCCACTTTGAAGAAATACAATGTAGTAACTGAATATCGGTTTTTCAATGGTGTGCACCACAATGATAAACAATCTTATGAATTTGTGGAAGCGGGGATTGTTCGCTGCCTTGCCACTCAAATTTTCCAAGACGACATCTGTTCCTATGGTAGCAGCGAATCCTGTGATTATTCGACCAACTTCTCAAGGATGATGTATAAAAGCAAGCCGATACGCATCAGAAAACACCCGATACTATCTTGATATTCTGTTCATTCTTGCTTATGTCTTATGAAGACCTCGATGAAGTGAGCACAATCAAAAGATGTCCTTCAAATTTGTTACAGGGGATTTCAAACCAACGAAAGGAACAGAACAGGAATCGAAGTACACAACAGAAAAACTCTGAAAACAACACTTGAGTCACAACAGAAATCACCTTAAGGGTTCACTTTGTTTGGCTCTTACAAAGAACGGTGTGGATCATGAATCTTCCAACAGGAGGTGAAATCTACTGGACGCTGGCTTCGAAGATCTCTAAAAATCTGTAAACCCTCATCGTTTGCGCGCGAAAGTCAACTGTATTCACAACTGTGACAAATTTTTTGAACGTCAAGCCGGGGCTGAATCGTATGGCATGGCTAATCCGACCACATCCTAGTATGACAGCTGAAAGACACTGAAATATGTGGAAGAAGTGCACGAACTCATATGGCATATGAAGACCGGTCATCAAAGGTATACCTATGTCCAAAAAATCTAATTATGATTACCGAAGTACTAAATGCATCCCTACAATTATTGTCCATTTAGCATATCAAAAATGAACTTTTAATGAAAATTTAATTAAAAGCCTCCTTTGCTGTCGCACAATATGGTTAGCTGACATGCATCCCAAGATAGATTAGGTATTTCTGGTCGTTTAAGTACTTTGACAGATAACATCTATACACGTTGAAGTCTGATCATCAAGAGCATGGTGCTGGTTCGATCCCACCACAGACTCACCAAGCCTCTCATCTCTCTGGGGTCGGCATCGAACTTGTCCAGAGAGAACAATCACTCTCTGCAGTCCAGGTGGGAATGCTCCAACTCGACTATCGCAAGAGTCCAGTGACAATCGATTTGACTAGAACTCTACGACATTCAAGATGAACTGAAAACTACCAAGTAGCAGCCCTAGCCACATGTAAAATTTGGAAAAACTTAGTGGATGATGGATTCGAGGAAACTAATCGAATGTAGAAGTGCTGGAATCCGCACAGCAGACGTGAAGACGGGTCATATAAAATAAAATGCTAAATAAATAAATTACGTTGAAGACAATGGTTCTGTGATATTTAACAACATCAGACATTAATAAACCACAGTTTCTACATACTCGAACGCTGAACGAGAAGAATGACAAACTTACTTAGAACCGACTCCATAGATAATAGCCATCTGGTTGATGTTCTTGTATGGTTGTTCTCTTGTTAGTAACTCCCAAAGCACAACTCCATAAGAGTAGACGTCGACATAAAATTCAGTGTTGAACACAATGGATATATGAAATTTTTGACGGTTTAAGAGCCTACCTTCTCGCAACACGGCTGTTTCTTGATTACCTCCGGAGCCATCCAACTGACCGTTCCACAGAACGACATCACCGTGCTGTTCTGTTTCCTTTGTTGATGAGAAGTTCCAAAGTCGCATATTTTCACGATGCCTTCTTCGTCGAACAAGATACTTCACAAAAAAAAGATCATGTCCTCTCCTCGATCTTCACAAGGAATCATTTTTATCCCCATACCTATCACTTCATAGAATCCTGTTACAAAAACAAACACATAAACGCCATGTATTTTTCCTCGAAAAATGTCAACCCTGGTAAGATCACAGCGTAAAATATTTATCTAGTGAACTTTATATTGACAGGCTAGAGATTAGGAGGATAGAGCTTACTTTGGACTCTTAAGATCTCGATGAATGACCTTATTCTTGTGAAGGTACTCCATTCCCTCTGCGATTTGACGACTCCACGAGCACCACTCTTCCCATCCTTAAATCGGGGTTTTCCTTCTATTTTCCTTTTATTCCCAACTTTTTAAATTATAAACGGATCCGTTAATCTGTTGATCAATAACTATTTTTGTTTGAACATCACACCCCAACTTGTAATTGTGCAAAGTGTACCGGTGTAGAGTTCATTAATTTTTCTTCCTCTCGCTATTCTACAAACGATTGAGTTTTTCTTATTTGCAATCCAAAGTTGTCTCTTACAACGCTGAATCGCTTGTAGTAACAGCTTTTACATAACTGAACACTCACCGATTATCCTATCGGATTTGAGAACATCCCCAAGATGGCCATTAGGACAGTACTCCATAACTAAGCAGTAACAAGGAGCTTGCGTGCACACACCGCTGAAATCTTTTCAGATTGTCTGCGATAACCAGATACAACCTCTCAAACTCACAGAAATTTGATAATATTTGGATGGCTTAAGTGACGCAAGTGTTTGATACTCGTTTCCTCTTCCAGCTTGACTTTTTTCACAGCTACCGTTTGACCGTTCAAGCAACCTCTGAAATGAAAGTCGTCTTTTCACGCACAATATGGTTATGGCTAACCCTCACGCTACTTTTTACATCCTTATAGCAAAAAATACAGAACACAACAACTGATTAAAAATTACACATTTTTTCCCAGAGTCGACTAATAACTCAAGTCGGTCAAATAATTCAACCTGATCTTGTTAATAACGCTGCATCGCTAGTGATTCCCGTGTTCACCTCACCGATTCCGTACCATGTAAAGAAAACCACCATCGGTTATAGGGTCATTCTAATGATCTGATTGCTATGTCTGTCTAACATATTATTCCTCGTCTGCATAGCAGTCGTGTGTCAGGTCTATCAGAAATTAACGTCGGAATTCAATATCGCGTATTTTCAAAGTGGCATATATCAGCTCAGAATAAACTTTGTTGATGGAAATAAAAGCCACTATATCTACACATTCCTGTTAACCGGAAACAAGCTTATTTATACTAGCCGCGAAAAATTTTTAAGATCTGCAAGCGATTAAGTCTTTTAAGGCAGTTTTGGCCACGCACTACCTTTTGTGACATTTTTGGCAGAGGAAGTTACTAACATGCTTGAACTGCTAGTAGTTATGAGAAGGATCTGGCAAGTGTGGATCCGGAGTGTGGTGGATAAGGCAAAGTTTCGTAGCCCGGCACGTTAAATTTCTACAGTGTCGGTAGTGCAACGTATGGTTTCGCGTTATCGCGAAGGACTGCCCCCTTTCTGTTGACCAACGCCGTGAACAAGTCGTTGAAGTTTCTACTGCACTTCCTCGATACGCTCAACGTACTTCTCCGTCGTAATCGTTCCATATGAATTAAGAAGCCGTGATGGATCAATCCAGGTGTAGCCGACCAAACGGTCAGTATGACCCTTTTTGGGGGCAATTTCATCTTTGTGAACGGCTACGCGGCTTCATTGCTGTCAAAGCATCGAGCCGATCGCCGTCTGTTGTCGTACAGAATCGACTTCTCGTCGCATTAAACAATATTGTCGAAAAAAGGTTGTTGCATGTGTGTATAAGAAGCACCAATGATACCTCAAAACGGCGATTTCTCTAATTGTCGTCCAATTTGTGCGGCATCCATTGGTCGACCTTCTTCGACTTTCTAATGTTCTCTAAATGCTCCGAAACAGCTGAGACGTTCGTGGCAAGTCTTTCTACAAGTTCTCAAACAGGTCCACGTGGATTTGCTTACTCGTTAACGTTTCGTACAGTTTGCGTTGGACTACGTCCGAGTTTGAACTCGTAAAAAAAGATATGTCGAAATTTATATATCTTAATATTCCGTTTGCATGCATGGATCCTGCCGATTTCTGCGGAGTATTTATGGTTGGTGTAGGCTAAAAAGGACGAATACTTACGCGTAACGGAAGAGTTCCGTGTGAGAAGTCGCAATCGTAATTTGGGAAAACTGGTAAGAGGTCCGAATGCCTCTATGTATAGTTTAGGTAAACACATCCATTCTTACACAACAACCGAAAGTCAACCACCTGCAGTGTGTTCAGTTGGCTGTACGAAGTTGACAAAATATGATAATTCTATATTTGCTATAAAATATGCTAAACAGGTCCGCACTAGGGATAATAATGTAAGAAAATTTTTTTGTATTTTTTTGATGTTGGTTAATATGGTTATGCGAAAGGTGGTTTATATGCAAGAAGTAGAGTTATTAGGAATAAATCTAAACTCTACGTTAGGACTTTGGAGGCGCGACTGCAACACACGTAGAATGGCCCACCAAGCCTTCCATCCCTCCAAGGTCAGGAAATTGGTCCCAGACTTGTCTGGGAGGATAGTAGCACTGGCTCGATACATTGGGAGGCCACTGCGAGTCATTGTAATAACGATACTTAATAAAGTGGAATGCATGGCGCATCCCTCAGGGATTGACCAACGCCGAGAGCTTTATCCTTTTTATCCTTTTTATACACATATATATAGTACTGTTTGTATTACCAACTGGTTTGTCGTGGCTAAATGATGGTCGGTTTTCTAAAAATACAACGATCCACTTTCTCAATACCAGTCCATCCTAAAGAATTGTAGTTACACAATGGACATCCAGTTTTACTATTTCTAACGAGACGATATCCCTGACAGCGCGTCGAACTCTTTCTAAATAGATGAAGGACCAATTCATTGGCGACGGTGTGAAACAGCTTTCCAAGAACTTTGTTCGTAGGGTTGTAACGTGTTGAGAGAATCGATATGCAATACAATCTACACAGTGCCACGCAGCATAAAAAAGTGGTCACCTCATAGATCCATCAGGTTTTCAGGACAACCACACCACACCATCACCTTTGATCCACATTCAGTCGCCTGTACGATAACTATGGTCACCTTAGTGTAACTACCAAGTAGTCTCATCCAAAAGATCCGTTGCTGCATTTGGTAACATAGAATGAAACCTACTTTTAAGGGATAAGAAACAACGCAAAGTGGAACCCAAAGTTGCTCAAGTCTCAAAATATTTCAGCTCGACTGCTTGCCGTAATCTCCTGGATAACATTTTAACTCTTTTTTCAAAGAAGCCGTAAAGCTAACCTAAAAACTGCACCCTGCGATCCAGCACCTAACCATTCTAGACCTGTAATAGCTTCGAAAGGTATTTCCCAATCGTCTTCTATAGACTTGACTCTAAAAAAAAGACGTAAATTTGTCAACCACCATCAAAAACGTAAAAGCCGAACACTTACAAGTCATTATTACTGCGACCGAAATATCCCCATACAGGACGAAAACACGAAAAAATACCCTCATACAATGTTCCTGAAAAAATTTATGCAGCCACTTAAAAAGAAAAATTAATGCGTGAATAAAGCAATTGGGCTCATTCAAGGTGTTAAAGCTTAAACCTTCCTGGAATACTCACCGATTCCAGCCCTGTAGTAGCCACTGTTGGGCGGTTTTCCCTGAGAAGCTACAATCTTTTGAAGGCGTGGGGTTGCTGAAACGAAATCATTTCAAGATGGACAGCGCGGTATTGAGTAGTCAAATCCTAAGGGGCCATAATACTAAATGATGGGAAATTCAGTGAATGTGATCACCAAAGAAATGACTAATCGTTTCATTTAGCGCGACTACTACATTGCTACAGTTCATTAAGAGCCCTAAAAACATGGCCTACGGCGTGGCAGACACTCAACCATGTTATAAATTCTCATATAGCTTGCTACTGAGGAAACGCACGTACAGCTAGAACGATTGAAAAAAAACATGAAACACTTAACTATAACATCGCTCACTTTTTCCAGAAGTAAACATATAGACCTCATTTTCAATTCTTCCCAACGAAGCGTAGAACGTGGAGCTGTAGCGCATTGCTCGGAGGCGCCTTGCAGTTCTTTTGAGATCGATCTCCGGGCTCCAGGCACACAAAGCCTTCCATCACACTGGGGTTGGTAAATTGGTACCAGACTTGTCTAGGAGGATAGCAGCACTGGCTCGAGAGATCGGTAGGCCACCAAAAGTCATTGTAAAGGGCAGATATGCATTCAATCACCTCCAACGATGCTTAATAACGTTAAATGCATGCTCCATCCCTCAGGAATTGATCAATGTCGAGAGCTTTGTCCTTTATTTTATCCTTTATACCAACGGACCATTAACTATTAAGTGTATAGGTAACGAATAACAATTATCCACCGCAATACAAGGAGGAAATCCCAATCCAATAATATCGACATATCTGAGTCAGTTCCACTTTAGATATTTGCAGCAGGTTTGACATAATGTTAGATAACGGACAGATCGTCTACGTGACAATAACTCCTTAGCGCAACTTAAACGACTTAGTAGAATTTTACCTGGACTTATTTCCATTAGATGAGCCACTGCCACATTTGGGGCGCTTTGAGTGACTAATGACGACGGAAGTCCGGTGGAATAGCAAGGAGGCTCTAGATATATCGTTGTTTAATTCTTTTTATATAGAAAATTCCACTACATTTCATGATTCCACTACAATGCACTCAGTAACAACATACAACTATACGGAGAGGCTTCAAAATTGAAAAGAAAACATTTAAAAAAGCAGAGGATACAGCTGTCTTGCAATACACACGGGGGCTCGTTGGTTCGATCCCATGCCAGTAGCTAAACAAGCGTTCCTTCGCTCCGAGGTCAACAGATTGCTACTAGAGATATTAGTCCAAAAAGATAAAAACACTGACTTGAAACATCGTTAGACTAGCGCAAGTCATTGTACAGGCCGAATATGGATGCACTCAATCACTTCTACAAAGCGATGAATGGAATGAATGGAGGTCAATGCATGTCCAATAGTTGAATGACTGGTCAACGCCGAACGTTTTCGGTTTTGTTTACACGGAATTACACATTACTGTACAATGAAAAAATATATATTAATACCGTACTATCACGGCTACTTAATGTTCATTGAACCCTGAAAGAAAAAAAGTGGAGGCAAAGTAAGCATCTGAAAAATGCACTTGTTTTTCTTCCCTTTTTTTCTCTGCCTTCTCTTTTCTTCTTTGTTTTTTTTTAATTCTGACAAAAACAACTTTTAAGTTTTCGAAAGAAAGAAACTTGAATTCAAAAGCGAAAGTGGAACAGGGTGGGCGTGAATAAAACTAGAGAAAGCGAAAAGAAATGTATAGAGGAAAAGAGGGATGAATCTGAAAGCGAATCAGCAAGAAACTAAACTAGAAAATTTTTTCGAAAATGGCTACTTCTAAATATTTTCCAAATCCTAGCACTGCTTCAATTCAATTCGCTCCCTCACATCTCTCATCCACGAAGGTCTTGAGATTTTCGAGTGGATCCGGTTGCCGCCGAGGACTTTGTCCTATCCTTGATGAATCTCTGTTAGTACTCGAGTCAGTTCCTTCTGGAATCGCAGGACAGTCGTGCTCGGACGTCCCCAGGTCTTCATCACTGACAATTGCCAATCTTTGTGGATCAGGCAGACACTCACATTTCGCAACCACAGGGTAATGGCAGGATTTTTTTCCCTATTTCCCGAACACTATGCGGGCTCGAACCAGAGCCTTGACGCGTAATTGGACCTCCGCCACTGTGCCATATGCTGAATTCGTACGACGTTCGGCATAGGTAAGGAACGATATACATACAATTCATCAAAACATTTCACGAGAAGAGTAGGTACGAAAGACGCTTCAGAAAATTTGAAGACTGCGCGGAAAACATGAATGCAAACCTACTCTGACTCTAAGACTGATCTCCAAAATTCTGCTGATCACTGAACCTTGAGATAATAGTAATTAGAGCTACTCAGTACGTCTCAATACACAGAACCCGAAAAAGTTGACTTTGGGGGTGGGTTACCCAGACAACGAACAAAAATGGCGGATTCGCTGCCAGTACAACAGCCATACCGATTGTTAATCAACTACTGAACTATTACCACCATGTGTTTACATTTAGCTCAGTGTTATCACTAAAAATCAATTGTCCAATTGCTTGTGTCATCGGATGACGTTCAATGTAAGCCAAACTCGTCACACAGAATAATACGGTTCACTTATGGAACCGAAAAACAATCATTTCTCAAAGTCAGTTACAGTCTACGACGGCCGGACACAACTATGTGTTACACATCATGAAAGAGAGAAAACGTCTTAGAGATACATATTTGTCCTTGGTGACATAGTGACGCCTAATGGAATAAATACCGCTTTCATCTACTGATTCCTGAGGTCAACACAATGGACCACTTGGTTCCAGACCTGATTAGAAAGAAACGGTTAGCTTCGGAACCATACAAGAGCATAGAAGTGTAGCGAAGATAGCCGAATATTCGGCTCCGTGACCACTTTCCCAAATTCGACAATTCTTCCTGTGATAACACACGCCACCGAAACCGAATATACGATGCGACAATACGAAAGCAAGGTGGAAAAGCAGCCGCCCTTATCAAAGACGACGCTAGGAGTTCCTTCTCTTACACAGACGACGATTAAAAACCAACGACATTGCAACATATGCGATGTCTAAAATGTAACCCGGAGATATCTTCTGACAAATGGGAAAGAACCGTTAGGGACTAAATCCACGAGTTTTTCTCAACGGAAAGACTACCGACAAGGCATATTTCACCACAACCCTCTGAATTTGTAACCTTAGAGCGAATAGAATTTACCGGCAAAGTATGACAAGCATAAGCCAACAGGCAACGCAGCATGGCAACATGCGACATGAAACTTCTGAACTATACAGCTACACTCCGTAACCACACACAGAAACTAGAAACATCTATACTCAACAGTAACATTTCATCTGAACACGGAAGCACAAAGGCTCTAGAGCTGAAACATCCACTTGGAAATGAATCTGATGATGTCACCAAAAATAAATAATAATTGCCAAAACTCAGGAATGCATTCCTCCAATATCGCATCTGCAAAAAAACCTCAGACCAAAAACCATTAAGCCAAATACGGTAATTACACCAAATCAAACCCACCTGTAAAGTAAAATAACTGAAAGCTAACATGTTTGAGGCCGTAACATATGTGTTACTTTTCTTCAGTTAAATTGATCACCAATATAGGGATGTGGCAAGTGCAGCGACACAATTACTCAGTCCGGATGTAGAGATAGGCGTTATTTCGATCTGCACCGTTTTGGAAAAAGACCATATTCCGCGTGAGGGATTCGTCAGGCTACGGTACATACAAGGTTACGGTGACCCCGTGCGCCTTCATCGAACTGCATAACCATTGTACGATAGTTACGACCCGATTTCAATGCGCATAGAAAGAACAGAATCAGTGGTTCTTAAGATGAAGTTTATGACCACCGCATAATACCGTACAACATCATGACCTAAGAAATCCCGTTTATCTATGGTTTCGAAAACAAGCTGAGAAAAACGAATAACCTTTCAAATTCGGCACTGGTAATGCTGCACAGCATTCCGAAGAAGGACGTACTCCACAGAAAACAGCAAACACCAGTAGTTTACAGTCATACCAAATTAAACCGCAAAAGTAATACTGACGGAATTAATTTAGGTCAGAATTGCGTAGTGAACGAGATATGCAAGGCACTAAGGAGCCGGAATGACCTTAGTATGCTTTGTGACAAAAGTGTAGTGCAGAGAAAAAGAGAAAGAGCGGTGAAATGAGTCAGCTAACTGGTTTTTGATGACCTCGCTGGGCATCAGCATCTAAGGAACTCTCCGAATTCTTGAGATGGATGTTCTGCTTCAACAACATATCACTTGTAATCATTAAAATGATCGAATTACTTAAGCACAAGACTCCATTCGTTTCAGCAACGCTTGCCAGCTTCTCAGTGAACTCCGTCCGCTCCACGGATACGGACAAAAAGCATCGCGCTTTAGTACGACGACATTTATTTCTATGTTCTTAGCAAGTCATCCTCTGTCGCATGTGTTATATATACATATATATGCAAGTATTAAATTGATAAGGCGTTCGGCGTTGACCAATCCCTGAAGAGGTATGGCAGATTTGGCTTGCTCCGAGTGCTTGATTGAAAGACATTTGTGTACTACAATGCATCTTTAACCACCGCACTACCCGCCTATAACCACATATATAATGTGCAAATATGACTAAAACCTGTCAGTTTTGGATATCTAGAGCAAGTGCTTGCTCTACATTCATATGCGAAAACCTAATCCTGAAGCATAACCGCATAGATTACCACTAGGGCTAGAAAGTGTCACATCAAGTGCTTGTTGCAATCAGCTACAGGTGCATATACAACTAGCTCAATCACTCAACATTTCCAGGTCGGTATGACAATAGAAG